GAAGTAGGACTCCTCATCCACTCCTGGTGGGACTGCAAGTTGGTCCAGCCACTATGGAAAACAGTATGGAGGTTCCTCAAAAAACCGAGAATTGATCTACCATATGATCTTCCAGTCCCCCTATTGGATATTTACCCAAGACTTGAAAACTCAAAACGAAAATATATTTGCACACTGATGTTCATAGCAGCATTATTCACAGTGGCCAGGACATGGAAGCAAGCGAAGTGTCCTAATATAGATGATTGGCTAAAGACGCTTTGGTACATTTACATGATGGAATATTACTCAGCCATAAGAGATGAAATACTGCCATTTATGATGACATGGATGGACTTCGAGATAATCATGCTAAGCAAAATAAGCCAGAGTTAAAAATCACTGCTATTACTTATATGTGGGATATAAACCTAAAAGCAACAAATAGGACAAACAAAGAGAGACTCGTGGATATGGACAATAGGATAGTGGTCACCAGACGGTAGGGAGGCAGGGGTAGGGAGGCGGTAGATGGAGTAAAAGGGGTCAAATATGTGGTGACAGAAAGAAATCTAACTATGGGAGGTGAACACTCAATGTAAATATATATGTGCCTTATTGTTAAAATGTACCACTGAAACTTACTGGATTTTGTTTACTAATGTCACCATAAAAAGTAAATTAATTTAAAAATTAAATAAAATAATATAAAATGGGAAAAATCTATCTCAGAGAGCTACTGAGAAGATTCAGTGTAATAATACATGTTATGATGTTTTAGAGCAGAGGTCCCCATCCCTGCCTGTTAAGTACCAGGCTGCACAGCAGGAGGTGATGGCGGGTGAGTGAATGAAGCTTCATTTGTGTTTGGAACTGCTCCCCAGCCGCTAGCCCACTGCCTTAGCTCCACCTCAGATCATCAGCCATTAGATTCTCATAGGTACACCGGTCCTTGGTGCCAAAAATGTTGAGGATCTAGCCTAAGCTGGTGAAATGGTCGTTGCAGACTCCAAAGGCTTCACAATTTTTCCTAATGTAGGCATCAACTCCTTCAGGATGTTGGAATTTAAAAAAAAGTCAAATAACATTGAAATGTATGAAGTAAAAGTCTCCCCACACCATTCCCAAAGTAACTAATACTATGAGCAACTACAGATAACATTTGGGTAGGTGTGTTTCATATGTCTGGAAAAGCACCAATTGTCTTATTGCTTCTGGAGGTTTTTACGATAACGTTTAGATTCTACTCTGTGGTTTGTTTACCATTTGCCTATGAAGGCATTTTTCTTTCCTAGCTGTTAGTTCTGGAAAGAAGTTACATTATTATGAATGTTGCTTTTGTTTTACCCAGGGTAGACTACCTGAATATAATTTTTTATGTATTTCTAAATATATACTTACACATTTTGGATCTTTTCACTTATCCCTTTTAATCATATGACTGAATGAAGAACTGGAAATCAGATTTACTATTTGGACTGGTGTTTCAATGTCAAGTGACACAATGCTTGTACTTATTTCCACTAGTCGTTAGAATTCTTACTCTGGAAACTCAGTCTGATGTTTTTCCAATCTATAGATTGTGTCATTTATGAATTTAGATTTTATGTATTATATTTTCCTTAAAGCCAGAACGACTATGCTTTGTACATTTTGAGCTCTGTCAAAAAGAATCAGTGAGGGAGGTGGCAGGAGGTGGGCACCAGAGTCGCCGAGTATACTGATAGAAAGCATTTCTTCAAAGCAGTGTTGTGGGTAGAGTTAGATCTTTCCCTCCCATGAAAGTTAAGAGATGGGAAAACAGACTTGTATTAATAGCCATGGTAGGTGTAAAAAAAGATGTGACAAGACTCCGGTAAGCCCAAATGTACCACGTCTATAAAGAAAGTTATCTGAGAATTTTGCAGAGTAATAACAAGAAAAAGCTGGACTTATTACTAAGGTTTCTCCGCTCCTTCAAGTTGCAAGGGTAGCTGCCCTCTCAGTGTCTAGAACAGTACTTGGTGCATAGTGGGCATTGCGGAACTACTAAAGAACCACAAAGAGTCAAAATGCAAAATGCCAAAATATCAAAGCTCTCAACACAATTAGCAGTTCTCCCAGTGTTTATGTCTAATAGAAGCACTTCTTTTTCCCTACTGGTAAAGGGCAAAAAAAGGATTCTGCTCTGAAAGGCAGTTCCGAGTGCAGGGTCTAAGTTCAAAAACTGGTGCAACCACCTCCCACCCTACAGAAATGCAAGGACAAACCTCCGGACCTGGTGTCCCAGACACGCGCTATGCCCACTGCTCAGGCTCAGGCGCGGGCGGGGCTGAGGCGGGCAGAGACAGGCGGCGATTGGCTGGGTACGGGAAGCTCCACCCCTCGTCGCGCCAGGGGTCACGTAGCCGTCTGCGCGGGCGAGCAGAGTTGGCGAGACTCTTTAGTACTGTGCTGCTCCGGCGGAAGTTGGGACAGTCGCAGTTGCGTTGAGGACCTTGGGTGAGACGCCCATCCCGTTTCTTGCGTACACAGGCTGGAGTTTCCATCCGGCGAGTGAGAGAGGTGGCAGGAGAGTTGTTGTACACAGGGGTTACCCGACTTGCTGCTTTGCGCTCCTGCACGCCGGGAGTCGGTCTTCCCGTGACTCCGCCGGACAGCCGCCGGGTGGGGGTGAGTGGGTTTGGGAACGGTCGCGGGAGCCGGGCGGGGCGGGCGGCGAGGCGCGGGCTGCCCCTTTGGCGTGGTTGGTTTTGGCGCGCTCCGCATCTGCGCTCCCTATTGGCTGCTGTCGCCGCCGTCCGCCAGGCGCGCGCGGTTGGAGAGCATAGCGTCCCCTGCTGGTCAGTGTCCAGCGGGCTGTGCGGCCGGAGGTGTGCGGGGTCAATCCCGCGCACCTGGCTGTCGCCGAGTCGGAACGTCCTCTCTCCTAACACCAGTGACTGGCGGTCTTGGGGGTTTGCTCGCTGGGCTTGTGGAGAAGGCCATTGAATCCTGGTGTCCTATTGAAAAACGGTACCGCAGTGGGTGACACCGGTTTCCTTGCGTATCAGCATTTCCTTTGTACCAAGGCCTGTGCTAGCGTTTTGAATCTCGTTTAAAAGAACTGTAGAATAAAAGGGCGCAAGGTTGCCGACAGGAGTGTGACAAAATGTGAGGAATTGGACTTACCTTGATAAGTGGGTTTCAACTTTGTAATCATGACGTACAGAAAACACATTTTACATCGCAATTTAGGACGCGGCCATCCAGCTAAATGAGAAATTTCTCGAAGAGAACTTATTCCCCACAGGCACGCACTCTGCTGTTTTCCATTTTCACTTACATTTTTCTAAACAGTTTTTATGACCCTCTGAATGATTTCGTGGTCCCGGGCCGCGACTCGCTGTTTGAAAAACATCGCCTTGCTCACTTGAGTGAGTCCCGACTAGCATTTGCTTCACATAGAATAGAAAATAGAGTGTATCATACAAGTAGATTGTTTCCTCTCAAACTTTTTTGCTTTTGTGTATGCGTCATGGCACAATGTAAAATGTGCATAAGACGGGTCATAGTCAAAGTTCGAAAGCCTCTGCACTGAGTAAAAGGCATGGCCACAGAAATCGGAGAGATCAATTTCTGACGCAGATGTGGCTTAGGCTTCAAACGTTGGCTCCCTCTTCCTTGCTTCAGTATCTCAGTGGTTAAACATTTCCTACAAATGTAGATTCTTAATCATTTGATCAGATATTGAATGTCTATATTTTTGCTGGTTACCAAAGCCAGTTTTGTCATAGCTTAAATCTGCCTTTGAAACAACAGAGTTAGGATACTATTCTTTGGGACAAACTCGGGCATACCCAGGTATGTTTTGCTTTTCCTGGTGACCATTTCTCAGATCTTTGAGAGTCCCGAATTTAATCCAGGACATCGTCATGTTTTCTAAATTTGTTTAGAATATACATTTTTTAACTTTTGCACCAAGAATTTTCCAATCAAAATTATTATTGTGTATATATATAAAATATAGATATGAAGAGTCACTAATTTTAGCCACTGTAGTCATTGATAGGGCTGAGTTTCAGGACAGTGAGAAAAGATAATTCCACCATACACTTATATGACTTTTATGATTGTAAGTACTTTGAACAACAACAAAAATCTAGACTCCACCTTCAGGTGCAAGCCATATTCTGTTTTTTGAATTACTGTTTTGTGCTTCACCGCGTATATCATGAATCCCAGTATGAAGCAGAAACAAGAAGGAATCCATGAGAATGTAAAGGTATGTTATAGAACCACTTTAATCTGTTGTAAGAATCACGTGGTTAGAAGTATTTTGAGTTATTTTAGCTAAATTTAACCTGGCTTTAGTTTCTATAAATTTTGAATTACTTAATTTTTAGCCAGAGGACAAGTAATAATAGAGAACTTTAAAGTAACTAATTATAATTGAATATTAAATTTTGTGATCCATGAACGTAGGATGCCTTCCTATTTATTTAGGTCGTCCTTAATTTCAACAATGAATTTTCATTTTCAGAGTATTGAGTTTTATACTCCTTTTGTTAAATTTTTTCCCAAATATTTTATTTCTAGTGCTATTATAGATGAAATTGTTTCTTTAATTAAATTTTTGGTGTGCTCATCATTACTGTATAGAAACACAATTGATTTTCGTATTTTGTTGAATCCTGCAACCTCACTGAACTTATTAGTTCTTAATAGTTTTTAGTAGACTCTTTAGGATTTTTTATACACAAGATTATTATTGCTTTCTTTCTACTCTTACATTTCACATTTATTAAAATCCTTTGTATCTTCAGAATTAGTGTCTTTGACCAGACATTTTACATTATGTTGCACATATTTCCAGAGTACCTTATACTCATTACCATCCAACCTGCTTGTTTTGCAACACTTTTGAATCTGTATATGATACTGTCACTGGAAGTCTTATCCCAAATATTTATTCTTATAACAATAAGAACAGTTTGTTTAGTTTTGAAATTGTAATTGTGACTTCCTCTGCTCTTAAGGTTCTAAATGAATTTATAAATTAGGTTCTACCATACAACTTAGACTGTAGGGTTCCTGGGAACAAGACTGCATGTTAAGAAAAACTACCAGTTTGCAGATTTAAATTAAATAGAGTAAGTAAAAGTCTTTCATAAGTGATAGCAGGTGCTATTTGATAGATTTGTTTTCTTTGCCTTGTATTCATTACTTAGTATCCTCCTTACATTATCAATGCAAAGTATTATTCAGGAAAAATAATTTGTGAATTTGGGTCTGTCAGCTTCCTTTAAAATGATGACATCTTCCCACTGTGCTGTGTGCATGTGTGTTTAAACTTTATATTATGGAAATTTGGCCAATCTTATTTTCATCTACATCTCCATTCACTCCCCCTTATCCCCACCTAATTATTTTGAAGTAAATCCTGCATGAATGATTTATATAATAATTTCAGCAGATGCTTACATTTTAAGGAAAGTCTAATGTTTAGTAGCTGGAGTAAAATTATTTGGGACATAAAAGGACCTGGATTCTTTTGGTTTGGTTCTACCTTCAAAACCATGGCCTTGGGTGAGTTATTTAGCATCTCAGCTTCAATTTACTCATCTGTAAAATGAGGAAATTGGACTAAAACTAGATCTGTAAGCATGAATTTTAGGAGTTCATGGATTCCTTGCCAATTACATGTACACTTCTGTGTGTGCCCTTGTGTGCTTTTTTTTTTTTTTCCCAGAAAGGTCACAGAATCTCAACTTGTTTTCTAAAGAGATTAAGACCCATTAACATATAAGAACTCTTGGCTTTAAAAAGTCTTGTTCAGTGCATAATCTTTATAAGGAAAATGATAATAGCAGTATTACATTTTGGGGGATGGATGCTATAAAGCTTACATTATAAAAGTTAAATCTTGGAAATTGTTTTTTTTTTTTGTGACGGTAATTTAGCTGGATTCTTTGACCATTATTAAAGCAAGCACTTAAATGTATTAACACCTATTAAGAGTCCAAAGTTACATTTTTTCCTCTTTGTCTGGAGACTGTTGACTAATCTATAATCTAAATTACATTTGAAACATTGGTGTAATATTTGTTCTCACAGTAGCTGGCATTTGTTCTTCAATTAAATAGTGAGATAATCAGCAGTAGAAACTTTACCGTGGGAAAGGTGAACTCTTGTCATGTGAAGTACAGTGTGGAATCAGTAACTTTCTCACGCTGCTTTGGTATTGTGTTCTTTTTAACCTTGTTTGAGTATTTGCCATTGTTTGCTGTCCCTTGGTGGCAGTATAACTAATGAGTTTTTGCAAAAGTCGAGAGCACTGTCATATCAGGTAATATACAGGAAGGTATTTACATATTATAAGAAAGGTAGTAGTTTTTCCCCAAAACAATAGCTTGGGCATTTTACAGTATTTAGTATGCCTCAAGCACTGACATTTTTAGCTGTCTCCTATTGAATGGGCTTCAAGTAAAACTGCTTCTACAGTCAGGTAACGGGTATGTGTGTGCAGGGGGGGTCCGATTACATGTGTATTGGGTTTTGTTCTTGAAAATTATATTCCTTTGGTAAATACATATAAATGTGTTAGGAGATAGTCATTATTTAAAGGAAGTCTGAGATGAATCCTTTTGATTAGGTGAAGAAGTATTTTGCAGTGTAAATAATTAACCTTTTTCTCAATTTACCTCTTTTGTGAGTTTTCTACCATGAATATATAATATTTGGTAAATTTGTAGTTGCTGTGTGGAAGATCCTTTTAAGAGGGAATAAAAATATTCCTGTTGTACTGGAATTTCATCATAGGGTTTGAAGTATTAGAGTGTTAAATTTTTATTGTATTTTTATTTTAGCTAGATACGAGTTGTTGGCAGAATGACTAGGAAAAGCATATATTGTAATAGAGGGACAAAAGCTACTTGTTTGTGTCAAGTTTGGCCTATATTATCATTCCTAGCATTTCTTCAGATTTCATTATACTTTCAGGTAAATAAGGTTGCTCGTTTTGATTAAACCATTGTTTAACTGACCAAATATTAGTGTTTCTGTTTTCTAAATTACAGTAGGACTAAGATAGTAAATTCATATAACATTTAGTAACCAGATAATGAATTGTCTTGACTTTTAGAATAGTCCTGTCCCGAGAAGAACTCTGAAGATGATTCAGCCTTCTGCAGATGGATCTCTTGTTGGAAGAGAAAACGAAGTATGTACTATTGAGTGAGAATGAGGTAGAGGTGATATTACCTTTACATTAAAAACATTTGCAAGATTTTCTTGGTTAGAAATATCTAAATCATTGAAATTTGGAAACAGTTTATAAATAGCAATTGATTATTCCCCACAGAAGTGTTTTTTGTTTTAATTCTTCAATTGAGGAAGTTCAAAATTTGTATGAATACCTATAGAACTGAGATGATGTCATAAGTTATGAATTAACCTACAGTAGTACTGTTGGGTGTTTTGAGAATAAAATGCTAGATTCCTTCATTTCTGTATGTAAATGATGAAGTCACGGATGAAAGTGTCCAGACTTTTGCAGGTGGAAAATATTGCCTTTCTATCATACTAAATTATTTAAGCAATAAAAATAATTTTAGTTATGCTTTTGACCCGAATCTAATCCAAAATACTCGCTGAAAATAAAATTCCTAAAATATTTAAATTTTGGTAGAGTTTTAAATTATGTGATTTAAAAATATCGAAAGATATCAAAAAAATATAGCTGTGAGTACTCCACTCTTAATACATAAATGACAAAACCACTTTATTTCTTAACAAATTTGTCATTTAAAAATTTCTGCATATTTATATTTTGCTTCTACATTGTCTTTGATTTTTTTCTTCTAATACTGTAATTTCTGCCTTTAACCAGTGGCTCTTTCCTCTTTCCTAAATTTCCCTCTTTTCTTTGGACTCTATAATGATGCATGCCTTACTGTGGTAGTTCTAAACATACATTCTTCAGAAGTGGTTTGCCTGCTCTAGTTTCCAAATCCACTCAGCTTTCTTGTTATTAAGTCAAAATAAATGAGATTGATGTGTATATTTCCATTATAGTTGGTTAAAGGCTTGTCCAAAATGAAACGCAGGAGTGACCAGTTACCATCTAAGACTTCCAACTCTGGAGTTGTTGTTGTCCCAGAACATAGTGAAAATAAAAATCTTGGAGGAGTTACTCAAGAAGCATTTGATCTTATGATTACAGGTATGAAAATATACACATATAATTTTTATCTTAGAACTTTAATTGTAATAAAGGTAAATATTAGTATATGTTATGAATTTTTCCCACAGCCTCTTAATCTAGACATGCTATTGGACAGTTTCATGTTTTTGATAATTTAATTTTTCTTACGGTTGTTGTACATATACAAACTGTAAGCTTGGACAAATGTACTGTTTGGTAAGATCAAATATGAATGAAATATTAAAGAAAATGATAGTGATTAATGTGGCATCTCTGATATTGGATTGCCTTAAGGGTTTATAACAGCGGTTCCCAACCTTTTTGGCACCAGGTACCGGTGCTCCTATGAGAATCTAATGTCTGATGATCTGAGCTGAAGCTGAGGCAGTGATGCTAGTGGTGGGGAATGGCTGCAAATACAGATGAAACTTCTCTCGCTCCTGTGGCCTGGTTCCTAACAGGCCATGGACTGGTACCTGTCCGTGGCCTGGGGTTGGAGACCCCTGGTTTACAGGACTTGGAAACAGTCTTTTCAGAAGAAAAATGTCTAGAGACTGATTTTGAAGAGAGGAATTTGAATGTACCAGGAGAATATGAAGTAAGGGAACCAGTAGAAACATGACTGAAGTAAAGGAGGTGACGATGAAAAGCATTATGCCCGTAATGGAAATACTAGTTTTTAATGGAATAGCAGTGGACATCAAAAGAGGAAGCTAGTGATGGTTTTTAAGCATTATGGAAGATTATTGGATATTATCAATGAAAATAGTTGACTTAGAGAAGTTCATTGACTTAGGGTCATAGTGACATTTGGGCTCATTTTGAGTTGCCTAGAGGACAGTAAGGAAAAAGATAAGTAGACAGGGTTTTATTGGGCAAATTAGGAAAGGTTGGCTGCATAGAAATAAAGAAGCTATTTAGTAATATAGAAGCTATTTGTGGAATAAACAATAGGTTTTATGACACTCATCTGACTTGGTTAAAATTACAAAGATTGGTGGAAAACACACCAAATACAGAAACAACTCAACTGTATATCATATTGCCAATATAACTACACAAATGAAAAAAATTAATACATATAACTTGAACACAAACCTCTTAATTATAGACCCTCAGTGGAATATATTGAAATTCTCAAAATGTTGGAAAAAATAAAGTAGACAAAAATTGATTTGGATTTCTAACTTAAATGTTTTTAAAATGGGTATTACCAAGTAATATGGATAGTACTAAGATTATAAATTTTTTAAATGGAAAAAATTATTGGGTTTTTACAGCAGCACGTAATAAATAGTAGTCGTTTTCAAAGTTACATGTAAAACTATTTATTTTAGAAAATCCATCCTCTCAGTATTGGAAAGAATTGGCAGAACAACGAAGGAAGGCTCTCTACGAAGCACTAAAGGAAAATGAGAAAGTATGTACTGAATATAATTTATGGCATTTTTTTTTAACATTTCAGTATTCCGTCTGCTGCTTAGCATATTTGGTTAGAGCAATATAAACTAGTTTTAATTTTGGCCTAAGAAAAGTTTTATTAGAAAGATGACTCTGATGGCAGCACAATTTACAATAGCCAAGATATGGAAGCAACCTAAATGCCCATCAACAGATGAATGGATAAAGAAGTTATGGTTCATATTTACAATGGAATATTACTCAGCCATTAAAAAAACCGAAATCCTACCATTCGCAACGACATGGATGGACCTAGAAGTTATTATGCTGAGTGGAATAAATCAAGACAGAGAAAGATAAATACCATATGATTTCACTTATCTGTGGAATCTAAGGAACAAAAAGAACAAACTAATCAAAAACAGACTCAAATATAGAGGACAGTCTGGTGATGGCCAGAGGAGAGGGTGATTGGGGGGCTGGGAGAATGGGGTGAAGGGTTAAAGAAGTATAAATTAGTAGGTGATGGCTGGTCACGGGGATGCAGAGCACAGCATAGGGAATGCAGTTAGCATTAATGTATTGGCTAGGTGGACGGCCAGAAGAGAGAAGGAGCAATTAGGGGAATCGTTTTATAAAATATATAAATGTCTAACCAATGTACTGTATACTTGAAACTAATAAAATTTTTAAAAAAGTGACTCTGTTACCAAAATTATTATACAAAAAGCCTATTGTATTGAGTGCCAGATAGCACCTTTGTTAGGAACTTGGAGCTAAACATATCCGTTAGTTATCTACTTGGAGGCATATAATTTGGTTTATAGCTTAGCAAATCTATGAAATATTGAACTTTATTTATGTCATATAGCTTCATAAAGAAATTGAACAAAAGGACAATGAAATTGCCTGCCTAAAAAAGGAGAATAAAGAATTGGCAGAAGTAGCTGAACATGTACAGTATATGGCAGAGGTCATAGAGGTATGTATTTAACTTTCACCTGAATCAAAATCGTCTATTTTTCTATAATACTGAGGCAGTGTGATCTGTGTTTGGGCTCTAGAATCACGTTTCCTGACTTGGAGTCTCAGCTCCCTGCCTGGCACTGTTAAGTTTGTTGAGTCAAGCAGGTTATTTGTCCTGTCAGGACTTCATTTTCCTCATGTATAAAATGGGAGAAATAGAAGCTATTTCATAGATTTGTTATGAGAATAATGAGTTATAATAGATGAAAGTTGAGAGAAGTGCCTGCACATATAGTAAGAGTCCGATCACTTTTAAATATTTTATTATTAGTATATTAAGAACATCTCTTTTCTTATAGAGAGATAAAAATTAACATCTGAAAATACGTAGAATATTATTGTTTTATGTTTGACAAATTTTTAGATATTTTTTAATTTAACTTTAATGCCAGTGTGACATTACTGTTATTTATAAGTGTTAATTGGTACACTAAATAAATTTGGTGGTCTTATCTGACTTTTTAAAATTTGGAAGTAGCTAATGTGTTTGACTGTTACTTTACCAGTGTTAGCCTGAAACATCGATCTTAAACTTATTCGGGTTTACATAAAATCGTCTTGCTGATGGGATGAAAGATTTTCAAATCAGAAATTGCTTATATTTTAGAGCTGTGACAATTAATGTTTGAGGTTTTCATTTGAAAGTGTATTAATAGCTGTGTTAACTGCTGTGAAAGTATTGATTCATTGCAGATTGGAAATTAGGAAGCCTGATCCTTCTCTGCAGATAGCTAAGTACTGATTTCATTTGTATTCTGAAAGCATGTCAGCACTTTAAAAAATGAACAAATTATTAAGTCCTCTGACTGCTGAAATATGACTTGGTTGTAAGTTAGTTTAATTGAGAGACATGAAAAGAACTTCATTACAATATCGAGGGTCAGTTATATAAGCATACCAATAAATGGACTTGAGTTTTAAATTTTTTACAATCAATTATTGTTTATTTAAAAGAGACTGAAAGGTGAACCTCTGGATAACTTTGAATCACCGGATAGTCAGGAATTTGATTCTGAAGAAGAAGATGGAGAGCATTCTACAGTGGAAAACTCAGAAATTGGTACATGTGCTGAAGAAATTGTATCATCCTCTACAGATGTGAAACCATGTATATGAAATTCATTGATATTTGATTCTTGAGAAATATACTGCCAAAGTTTACCTCTACTATAGTTCTTTGTAGCAGAGCAAATATATAATGCAGCTGTGAAATCAAACTTCCTTGTTTGAATTCTTGGATCCTATTATTGTATTAAAATACAAATACTATGTATTTTTAATCTTATGATATTTTCTGTAAATAGCATTTTCTCAGATGTCAGACATAACTTGTGTAAATGATAAATAAACTTTAGTCTCCTATTGAGCATTGTGTTTATCTTGAAGAATGAAGTCTAAGGAGTCTATTTAGAAAATTTGTCTATTTCTGTGGTTTTATAGTTTTCTTTCTATTCCTCTGTTATTTTGGAGGAAACAAGGAGCAAATGAATTATCTCTCTTTAAACCGAAATAGTTGAGTTTTTATTCCCAAATCTGGTTTTACCTCAAGCTCATTATGGGTACTATTGATTTCCAGACCCCCATAACCGGGTATTCTTCCTAAGTAGTTTTGGTAATGGATTGTGAGAATCTCGTTTCAAAACTCTCAAGTGAATCTGATTAGCCAAGTAAAAGCTTGACTCTCAAGTGAATCTGATTAGCCAAGTAAAAGCTTGACTACTTATTACAACTCAATAAGTAGACAACCTAATTTTTAAAGTATGATCAAATTCTTCTTGGAAGCTTAAAATGATGGGTAGTCCTCTAGAGAAGCAAAGTGGGGGGACAGGTAAAAGTCTAGTTAAAAGATGCAGGAATATCTAAGGGTTCTGAAACTTTGTTTCCATGTGTTACATTTGGTATAGTACCAAGTATATGTGTATGTATACACATGTATATGGAATAAGTAAGGTGAAATTAGGGGTTTCTCATATGTGCTGTTCTGAAGGAAGGAAAAGACAAAGGGAAATTGTTTGCAAAGTATACAGCATTGGGGTTGAATGTTTTGTGAGAAAATACCTTTGTAAATTGGCACTAGAGGACAATGTCAGGTGTTAAAGGCTTTAGGCAAGTTACTTTTCTTAAAGAATTTAATTTTCTTATTTCTAATATTGAGATAAAATCTACCTCAGTGTTATTGTGAAGATTAAACCCTTTCCTATGGTGCCTGAACCAAATGCTTAAAAAAATAGAAGCTATTAATCTACAGAAACATTGTTCAATAAAACTTTGAGATGTTGGAAATATCTGTGTTGTCCAGCATGATAACCAGTTACCTAGAATATGTGGCTGTGGAACACTGAAAAGTGGCTAGTGCGAATGAGGAACTGAACTCTTAGTTTATATTTAAATAGCCACATGAGGTTAGTGGCTGCTGTATTAAAGCAGCTCTGTGTTTTAGGTATGGGCTTTTGGCCTAAAAATAGAATTGAAGACAAATTTTATGTATTTTTTACTATAATAAAAAATAATTTGAAGAATTAATGTAGGTTTGGGGGAGAGAGAAATCAGCTGAGAGACTGATGGAATGAGTAAGAAAAAGGAGAGCTAAGTAAAATAGGATAACTTGGCAAATAGGAAATATTTCTAGAAAATGCCAAAAGTGGATTACCAGGATTTGGTGGGGAGCAAAAGAGGGGTGGAATTGAAGAGAAATTTTAAATATAAGAGTTAAAGCTTTTAATCTTCTAGAAGAAAAATACAGGAAAAAAAAATTTAGTGACCTTGGATTTGGCAAAGTTTTCTCAAGTAGTACACAAGAAGCATGAATTAGAATTATTTCAGTAAATTGAGTTTCATAAAATTCAAAAACTTCTCTTTGAAAGGCTTTTAAGGGAATGAAAAGACAAGCCACAGGCTGGGAGAAAATATTTGCAAAACATTCAACAAAGGATTTGTATCTATAAAGAGCTCTTACAACTCAATAAGTAGACAACCTAATTTTTAAAGTTGGCGAGAGGTTTGGACGCTTCACCAATGGGTAGCAAATTAGCACATGAAAAGATGTCAACATCATTAGTCATTGGGAAAATGCAAATTAAATCGGCAATGAAGTACTTCTGAGTACCTAACAGAATGGCTACAGTTTGAAAAAAACAATGCGCATACAAGTGTCAAGTATGTGAAACGGGGCTTCAATGCTTGTGGCAATGTTAAATACTATCAATGCTATAGAAATGTTCATCAGTTTCTTAAAAGTTAGCAGACGTTCCGTATTACCCAGCCATTCTACTCCTAGGTATTTACCTGAGAGGAATGAAAGCATACATCCATCTACATGAAGACTTGTCTGCAAATTTTCATAGTTTAATTTGTAATAGCCAAAATGTCCATCAGCAAATGAATGGATGAAAGAATTGTTTACATTAGAATATTGCTCAGCAATAAAAAGTAATTGGTGCACACAACATGATATTGAGCAAGAGAAAGCAGGTAAGTGTACCTACTATATGTTTTCATTTAAATAAAATTGTAAAACTTCAAACTAGTTTGAGAAAGCAGAGTAGATGCCTGTGGATCTTGGGGTGATTTTGGAGATGGATGTTTCTAGCCCCCTGGGAACTGTGACCCTAGTTGATGGAGAATTTGGAAAAATTTCCTTAGATTCTGATTTTCAGCTAAATATCAAATATTAGTCTCATGTGCAATAAGATCATGTTTCATAGCCAGAAAACCTCAGCCAAAGGCAGGGCAACTGGAAGGCCAGCACTGAAATAAGGCTGAAAAGATAGATACACGTAAGGCACCACTGTCTCCTCCAGCTGGTGGCTGTGGGTTGGGTTAGATTTTGGCATTTCTAGATGCCTTGACTTAATGTCCTCTAATAACCCCTAAATGCACGGTTGCTCCTCACAGTTCTATAGGTAACATATCTTCCCATAAATTCCCATTTTATGAACTTAATTTTCATGAGGTAATTTTAAACAGCGGTGCTTATCATTAAGTTTGGTTATTGCAGTAACTGGAAATATTTATGGAAATTTTAAACTACCTAAAAGAAAACACCGAAGAATAATATACTGACTTTTATTATTTGTTTTCCCGAATCGCAGTGGTGCAGACAGCTGCATCATGAAACTGGATTTAGAGAAGTTAATTCCTGTGAAAACCAATTAGGAAATACAGTACCTCGGCAAAATTCTCAGGCCATCCAGACCAGTTCTCACTAGCTAGCATCTGCAGTTGGTGTTTTAAAGTTGTGCGGTTTTTAAGCTCCTGCATGCAAGACAGGTTATTGCATGTCATGACAGAGAGGACGTAGCAAGTCCAAAATTTAACCATGCGGTTGCTGTTGATTTCACTTTTGGTGGTAGACTCAAGTTTGTTATCAAAAAACCCAATGAGAATGGGAATAAACTGCAGATGTTTGGCTCTTTTTTGATTGACAGGGTTTAAGTAACACCAACATGCTACACTCTGGAGGAGCTGGATTCTTGTTTTTGGTGCCATCTCGTGATCTTGCAGCAAGTGAGCTACTTCTTTCATGTATTCAGCTGCAAATTTCCCAGCAGTTGGTCCTCCTGTAAAACAAGTATTTGCGTTTCCAGAAGTAATTGGTATATCTAGTAGCTAGTGACATGGTATGCTTATTGTGTTCGGATTCTTGTTGCTGTATATTGACACGTGGAATACTTGGAGTTTCCTCTTTTCCCCACCCTGTGTGCTACTGTGAGAATGAGAAAATATGTGTTGATAAGTAAGGAGTGATATGAAAAGCCCTGGAAGGTCCCTGTCTGCCAATTTCCTTTAATCAGGCACCCAAGAGTCTGTACTTCAAGGTGAAGGAAACCTGACTTGTGTTCACCTAGCAAACCTTCCCTCATGGTTTCTTTCCTGGTTCTCTATCTTCAGTACTTGAAAAAATATCAGCACTAGAGCAAGCAAAGAGAAAACCAAAAGGCTGAGCTGCAAAGCTGGGTCTAATGTGAGTAAGAAAGGCTTTTCATGAGTCCATTGCTTTGCCATTCTCTCCTGTTTTTACACATTTCTCAACACAACTCCTGCAGATCTGCGACCAACATGGCCTTACAAGTTTTTCCTTGTTTTTGGTTACTGACCCAGCCTGTCCTAGACTACTTTTATCATATACCTGAACCCCAGATCTTCCTAGTTCAAATCTCAAACTCTGAGAAGGTAGGAGCCAAGAAGGCATTTGATAAAGACTGTTTAGATGGTGAGGGTTAGCTGACATTGTTGCTAGGTTCTAGCCACTGGAGTTTTGACCTAGATTGGATTTCTCTTACTTGTACTGGCACTCCATAAAAGTACTGTGATCCCAAGGATGTTGAAGCTTTAGCTGGAGCCTGGGCACAAGCCCTTTCCACCACTACAACTAAGGCTAAATAACATCAAGTTAAAGCATTTTGACCCTTTTATAATATAGGCCAGTTCTTCCCACAAATGGGGAATACAGCTATGTAAGGAACCAAGCCTGCCTGGTGCGGTGGGTGCCATTTACCTTTCCTTCATGTGGGGGTTCTGAGTTTCCTCTCTCCTTATCTCTGTGCCAGTGGCTCACAACCGTTCTGGCACCTAGAAAACAGTAAATTTTTTCTCTCATGGATACCACTCTGAAAGATTTAGTCTATCAAACCACATCTAAATATCTTTTTCTCATAAAAAAAAAAAAAAATCCATCTATGACACAGCTACCAGTAAGAGCTTCTAATTAGATGTATTGTTGAGGGCTACCTATAAAATTTCATTACATATCCTGAAATTTATTAGAAAAAAAAGGGCGAGTTTGGACTTGACAGTGGGAAGTGCTTAAATGTGTGTTTAAATGGTTACCACTTAGTTTTCTGGCAAGTACACATTGCTTTTCACTGATGCATGTATTTGCTTTCCTGGAATTGTTTTAGAAGCATTAAGTTCTTATTGATTTTTCTAAGCTATTTTCTCTGTATTTTTACAAGATAAAAAATCAAGTAGTTTTACTCTGTTGGAATCATCACTAGGTTAGAATTATATAACACAGTAAAGATTCTTTGACTTAGGATAATGAGGACTTTGATAGGCACCTTTAGTATATATTTTTAATAGAATTGGGAGGACACTTAATAACTTATTTGATGGACACATTCTTTTAAAACCTGAAATCCTTGAGGAAAAAATAATTAGTAATTGGCGGTACAAATACAAAACTAATAATTTAGGCAAAGAAAAGTTATTGGAATTTTAAGATGAGCTATGAAGATCACTAACTTACAATGTTATATAACAAGCAAAAGGATTTTGAACACTTATTTTAGCACAGCTGGTTAAGTCGGTACCTGTGAAGGCCAGCAGTCCAATCCTGTAGGCAGCTTGTGCCCTCTTCTCAAGGGCTAGAGATTTGTCCTTCAACATTTGGCCAAGTACCACAATTTTTTCTTTGTGGAAAATATTCTCATTCTGCGGGATATGGTTTTCCTCTTTCCTCTTAATGAAAAAGCCCTTAACAGTGACACTCCAGAAGCTCTGGAGGGACTTATACAGCCCCACAAAACACTGATATACCTGAGTCCAAAATTGCACATAATAAACACGGGCCTTGGCCATTGTGTAAAAGGCCAGTGGTGCTTCAGTTACACAGCTGGCAATAACAGAACAGTCAAGAACTATGGAATGCATCACTTAGCAACACAACAGAATGGAATACAGAAAGCAGGAATCAATCTATGCTTGGGATTTGGGCTTGGAACACACACAAATAAATGATGCTGCTTTTTACCCTTAAGGAGCTCACAGTCTTTTTCTCCAATGAGCTTTACAAAAAAATCTGAGGAGTAAATATCCTCATTTATAGATGAAGGAATTTCAACATAAAAATAAATTCAAGTTGAGAATGAGGTGTAATGTGTATATACCAACTCAAGAAAGGTATGTGAAAAAAAGCGGACTCTACATGAGACTAGTAATTCAAAAATAATTTTTATTTTAACTTACATGATTGAAACAGTGAATACAAATGCCACAAAACTAAGCACCCCTTCAAACAAAAAATAAAATGCACAAGTGAATACAAAAGATAATGGAGTTATTCATGCAATATTCAAAAAATAAAAAACCAAACCAAAAACTGTAACATTTATGATTTGATTTTCTATAAAAAGACCCATTTCAACCATTTAACAGAGACTACAGACTATGCATACTAACTATAGACTGTACAATGTACTTTTAAAATGAAGGATATATTTATATAATATTTATAAATATACAAATATATATACACATAATTTCACAGTTAAAAGGACTATTTGCCAGGAAACCTGACAACTTTAAAATGAAATGAGTTGTTTTTAAAGGTCTTGCTAAAATGTAAATATTTAAAATGCTATCTAAGTGGTATTTTGTACAAACACATCCAGAATACAGTTAATATTCCACAGTTTAAGTTATACTCACATGTATTCTTTTGCTATTTTGGCATATCCTACCTCGTATATTCTTAAGAGGAAGAAAAATTATTTAATAGAAGCTACTGAGTGGTCTTGTACTTTGTTTCATGGACTTGCTACCTTGATTTCCGCAATAACAGGCGCTGTTAACCGTTTGGCTAAGGGATCCTCTCAGTGGGAAGTGCTTTCTCGGGGCAGTAACCATTCCTCAGGGGAGGTTTCTTCCTAACCTCCTGGTAGCTTTTATAGAAGCAAGGACCACTTTTAATGTCCCTCTGCTCCCACTCCATTAGGATTCTTCCAACTTCTGAGAGTTATTCCACCTCAAAGAGCATCCCAGCTTTCTGAATCCATGACTTTTGGTTTTGATTAGTTTCAGCAGCAAAATACCTCAATTGTAAAAGTATAAAAAAAGGCTCTTAAAAAAAAAAAAAAAAAAGCTTAAGCTTTGCGTGTTGTTTTTTTTTTTTAAATGTATATGGATATAATCTTATTAAGGTAGTTTGTAGTCATCTGCCTGTCTTTTTATCATAATGAAAACATGCTTTTTGAATTTTCACAATGAAGAAGAGAAATAGCGGAGGTTTGAAAAAAATGAAAGAAAAAAACATTTAACTCTTACAATGTGTCATTTTACCAGGTTCTGCAGGCAAACTTTTATTTGAAGAAATTATATTTTGTGCTTTGCATTTAAGGTAAAATTAGGTAGCTTAGGGGGCCACTCAACCCTGAGAGCACGACAGAGAAAAACTGCAAGGCATATGATATTTATCAAAGTATCACGGGACTGTTTCAAGCTCATAGAAGAACTTCCAAAAAAGTACAAAGATGGCTATTTTAAAATTCCATATATATTTGATATGACAGACTCATTAAGCATGGTCAGACGCAATGAATGATGTAATCTGTTAGTCACAAGAAGCCCTATTGTACTGGCCAAAGGAAAAGCAGGTGGATGCTGTGAAACTGACTGTTAATTCTTTCTACAACATGCTAGATTTCCAGACAACCTGAACAGAACTCTTTAAATTTAAAGACATTCCAGCTAAATCACAGCACCCTCTTGATTAATAGGGCCACTAATTAAGACAGCTGTTAGGCAGAGCCAACTGGTAATTAAAAGGCTGTGGCCACTTCAGTTCCATGACGACCTCCAACTTTAACACAGTCTCGAGGAAATTTGTCCAATTGTTCATATGCCAGTCGCCCATCTTCTCCTGGATACACAACAAGAAAAATGAATGCCAATTTGAACTTAACTTTTTTATTCATCACTCAGGATAATAAATTAATACCAGTTGTTTAGGTATGGACTATTTTTTTGCTAACGTTAGCTTCAGGTAAAGAAAAGTCATCTTCAGTTATTCTTAATTATGTCGTTTCTAGGTAATGTTTAGAAAAACCAAGAACTTTTGAGCTAATGCCAGAGAGTAAGAGAATGCCAGGGTGTGAAACAAAGTAGAAGTCCTATGGGCATGTGAGGTTGATGATTTCACATAATAGATTTATTCTTTTGAAAATCATATGTATTATATTTTAAGTGCATTAGGAATTTCAGTATGGCTAGTCCTTAACTTCAGTGCATTGAACTTTTACCTAAGTTTTACTTCTATAAATTACATATTGGTACATGTTAAATTATCTTTCATAAAAGTCAAGATTAGGCTTTCAAACTTCAGCTAAAAAGTTACTCTTTGCCATGTAAACATGTGGTGATGACATCTACCACCAACAGCTGGTTCAGTTTGTCGGCACCATCCTGAACAGCCAACGTGTATTTGTAAATTATTTGAATATTTTGTTCCATTTTCCTGTTTAAAATATTAGAAAAAAATGGGAAAATGAAGTATAGACAACTAGTGATAAGAAATGGGCTTTTATGCGTTGAATACAAGTGAGAAAAAGATGGAAATAGTTGTGTCCAATCAGAAATTGTGGGAAAAAAAGATTCATGAAATGCTGGAATGATATTGATATTAGTGGGTTTTAGAAAAGGAATGTAATCATGGATTTTATAATCTTATTGTAGTCTCTAGGAATAGAAGCCTTCCAATAAACTGAAAGTCTGTTTGAAAGAATCACTTAGGATGCTTTTACAAGTCCCAGAGCTGAGGTATATCTCACGCCAACGAAAGCAAAATCTTTGGAAGTGGAACCAGGCCTGGGTATATATATATTTTAGGCCTGAGTATATTTTAAAGCTCCCCTGGTGATTCAGCCATGAATCGGTGAGGTGAGAGAGCATGGAGGCTGGGCGTGGGCAGCCACGTGTGTGAAGAGCTCAGGACAAGAAGGTATGTTATCGCTCCTGTAGATGCTGCTGTCTGTGCAGCTGAAGTGACTGGGCACATTCGGCAGGGCTCAAACTTTCTTTGGTTCTACTGGAAGTAGACACATGACTGGCTGCGCTTTACAAACATCTGGCTTACCTTCGCTGTTATTTCAGAACACGAAGGAAAGAAAGAAGCTAAAACTAATGATACCCTAGGCACATTTATAGGGAATTAAATAATTTCTATGCCGGAAACAGCCATAAGGAATAACTGTTTTATCCTTTAAACAAACATATGCTGGCTAAGATTTCTGTGCCTGGAACATTATATTCACTAGCAGAAAGAAGCCTTATTAAACTGATAACGTAAGAAAGAACAACTAACAATGAATATGATTTTCATGATGATGATAAATGCCAGGAGAGTCTCCCTTATGTTGTTAAGCTACTAGAGTCAAAGTAGAGCACCTTTTTTCCAATTAGTATTATTGACTGGATAGAATTGAGGACTTCTAGGAGTATAGTTTTTACATTTTAAGAGTATGTTGTAGTAGTAAAATTATTTATAATAAATATTTTTATTTTTTATGTGGAGTTTTGAAAGCCTCTCTCTACCCTCCCAACTCCCCAGAAGAATAAAAGTATGAAACCTGTGAAGCACGAACCTTTAGAAAATGAAGTGGAGGGGAAGGTTTATTTGGATATTTCAGAATAAAATAAATACTTCAATCTTTCCTTTGGTGTCAGGGCTCAGGTGGGATAGGCCAGCGGACGATCAGGTTAGCCTGAGAGTCGGTGAGGCTGTGACAGCTGGGGGACTGTGGCCTCTTAGGGAACCTCAGCCTATCATAGTCCTCCGGGTGGTGCATACCCCACCCCGGACTCCTGACTATGGTTTGACTTCTATGTTCTTGACTCCAAATAGCGCACAGACCAATGAAGCATCTAGAATGGCTCCACAGAGCAGCCCTCGCCCTCAGCAGTCATACAACAGGAGCTGGAGTGAGATGGAGGTTGATCAGTTCCTCATTCTGTGTGTGTGCGTGTGTTTTTGTGCGTGTGCACACAGGTAGCCATGAGGGAAAATTGCTAAAACAATACACATGAAACTTCTGACGGTTCCCTTTGGGAGTGAAAAGTAAACACATAAAAAAATTCTCACCAAGAGACAAGAGGGTTTCCGAGGCCACATTTCTGATTTCTTCAGTGTCGGACTGACACAGTGTCACCAGCATTTTAATGCTTTCAGTAGCCTACAGGGAGAAAAGAGTTAAAATCATGTTCTGACATTTATGTCTGGGGTTGCATGAGACTTAGCATTTCAGAGCTGGTGGGGACTTTAAAACCATCTTATCCAGGGCTTCCTACACCTAGCTGAGAGTCAGGAGCTCTTGTAAAGTACAGATTCCTGGCTGCCACTCCGAGATGTACTGTATGAGAATTTCCTGAGTTGCAGCCCAGAATTCAGACTTGTTAGATCTCCAGTGATCAGCTTAGTCCCTCATTTCACGGAGAACTGCAGGCCTAGAGAAGGGGGTGACGCGCTTGCTTTTCCAGAACAGAATCCACTTCTCATTGTTCTTTCCACTGTAACTCACTGCTTCTAAAAGAGCTCTAACTTAAGAATTCCTAATATTTAGCTTATATGCCAAACGAGAGGAGGAGAACAGAGGTCAACGATGGGAGTCCAACTATTTGTTTACTGAGTGCTCTATGAACCAGACAGTTCACAAAGTGTGGGGGGTTCAGTGATGGACAAGACCCAGCCCTGGCCCCCGGGGAGTTTCCAGTCTAGAGGAGAGACAGAGTTAAATGAGGAAAATAATTACTACAATGAATGATAGGCTGAGTTGGAGTGTGAGAGAAGAACGCGACTGGGAAACAAGCTGGTCTGACGAGGGAAGTCTTCATGGAGGAAGTAACATCTTAGAGGAGTTCGCCATGTTTGGGCATGTGGTAGGGGTGTGTGTGTGCGTCTGTGTGTGTGTGTTTGGGGGTGTGGAGAAGGAAACAAATTCTAGGCAAGGGGATTAGTTTATGACAGCCCAAATCAAGGAGGGCCTGATGAGCCATTAAGGGTTTTGGACTTATTCAAAGGTCATGGAAAGTCATACAAGAGTTTGAGGTTGGATTTGTATTTTATTATGAGCATTCCAGCTGCAGTGAAGAAGACGGACTAACGGGAGTTTAGGCTCTAACAAGGCAGAGATATTGGTAGAAAGGATGCTCAAATCCAGGTGAACACAGTGGGGATAAAGAGCGGCCAGAATTAGGCTGTTATGGAAGTGGGACCGGCAGGACGGTAAGGCTGGTTGGATGTGGAGGGTGAGGGAGGGTCATGATGGCCCCTAGGTTTCTGGCACGAGCTGCTTGGTGGTGGTTGTACCATCCACTAAGACAGAGAAGATTGGAGGCAGGGGTGAGATGGGTGAAATTTGAGGTGACTTTCTAGTGGGGATGTCCAGCAGCAAGCAGGATAATAGACAGGACAGGAAGACCTGGACGGGAAATGTTGGGAGTCATTAGCATATAGATGGTAGTGGAAGACCCAGGAGTAGACATTACTAGGGAAAACTGTGGAGGGGGAAGGGGGCCTGGCAGTGTCTCCAGCAACACCACCATTTAGGGCAAGTCCCAGAAGGGAGCCTGCCTGCTGCAAGACCAAATATTCTTGCTGAGATTTTGAGTTGATAATGGGTAACAAGTTACGATTTTCTCTTTTTGGAAGAAAGCTAGGCCTATGGAGTGGTAGTGGCAGTGCTGGGTGCCCAAACAGGACGAATTGGAGTGAGCAGCATGTGTAGATCCTGGGTTATTCCAACCCAATGAGACAGATGGGGACCTGACATCGGAGGGCCACTTTGATCTCTCCAGATTGTTTCCAGTTTGATGATAGAAAAGAAAAATGTGAGGTGTCTGCTTGTTATCATTAATCAAAAAAAGTTTTCCCCTGACAAGTTAATTAGAGTTGACTGGTTTGGGTGGATGACATCCTGAATCTGCTCTGTGCTGCACAGAGCCCCGCTGTGAGCTGGGGGCTGGGGACAGCTTAGAAAGAGGACCTTTATTCAGCCCAAAGGATCCTATCCTCTAGGAGAAAGGGAATAAATCAGTGCTGCCAGACTTGGGATATGCTAGAGTTTAAAACTGTAGCTTTTACTATAACCTTTGCAGCATGTAAATCCACAAAACAGATCACTGTCTCCTCATGTCTTGCTTTACCTTGTGTATCACAGCCATCATCACTGAGATGTCACTGTATGTCAGAGAGCACCCAAATAAATAGCAATCACTGTGGGCTTTTATTGGCCACCAAAAGATAAATTTTTGACCAAGTAACAAGGACAAAATTTCCCAGGGCTGTTTTTCTTTGCAAGTCATTAGCTTTTTCTTTTGAGGTGTTAATCCCTTTCTTCACTTCCTGACAGGCCTGCAGAACCCTGCCCCTTGTCCCATGCACCCATCCAAGATTTTAGCAAGCTCTGAGGTGTGGCTTTCTCATTCTTTTCTCAAGAGTGATTAGTCTTTTTTTTTTTTTTTGTGATTAAAGTACGTCAAACATTAAATCTTGACCACTGTAACATAAACTCGTTAATGCTGAGAATTTTCATGCCTTCTTTTTTCATTTATATTTTAGCTCTCTCACCAACACCTCCTTTTGACACAGTTAAGATTGTGAGCTGCTTAATAAAAACAGTTCATGGGGAAGGATCTGGAAATTTATTGGCACAATGAATTTTACAATTTCTTTGCAAATTTTCTGGGTCCCTGTTATTTTTTGTACACAGTAAAAAATGGTGAAATCACCATATCCTCTCTTTTTTGGCTTAGGATATACTTTTCTAGTACTGACCCAGAGGCAAACTAATTTCTGTGGGCTATTCAAAAACATAACTGTTTTCCAAAACATTTATACTTTAACAAAATAAAGTCACATTTAGTGGCAGTTTAAAGAATAAAGGACCCCAGACTAATATTCAGTGCAAAACTCTGAGGTAGGAAACTCTGCTGAAACAGGCAGTTCCACAAACGGAAGGGAAGCCGTTTCTGTACTTGGCTTAGTTTTGCTCAAAGCTGAACTGGAGGGGCTTTGAGGCTGGGCGTTACCTCCAGGCTTTTCAGGGCCAGGCAGGCTGCCTTCTGGAGATGGAGGTCTGTCCTTGTTAGTGCTTCACAGTAATAGAGCAAGGCCTGAAAGAGAAGGAAGGACACCATGAAGACATTTTGATTAGTTTGTAGTTTTACAGATAGATATCATTTTTACTGCCTGAGATGAACTACAGATAAAACAAGATATTCTTGCACTACCTTCAGTGCCCCCCCAAAAAAATCATTAAAATTCATGTTTATTAAAAGAGCAGTCTCTTTATTCAATACATTGATCCTTTATTGTCTACCAGGTCACATGCTTTGGGGTGTACGAAGCTGGAAGATGAAATGTTGCAGGATACTCGAGCTGGTGCCGGCACCGGCTCGGCAGATTCACATCCAAAAGCTGAGCCCCCATCGCAGTGGGGCTTTTTCTTTTATACACGTCTTATGCTTCCTCATAGTGAAGTGTATTCTGCTTGGTTGGTGGGCTGTAAGGGGAGTGACCAATCAGGGCCAGTGGTCTGTGCCATGTCAGCTGTGACACTGAACAGTCCCCTTACCTATTATGGGACGGAAAGTGAACGACCTTCAACCATTATAGAAAATGGTTAGCTCGGCCTCTGCACGCACACATATTTTATGAGTAGTCTGGGGTCAAGTCATCTGACAGCAAAGTTATGAGTCTGGCTTTCAACAGACCCTAGGGTCTAGTAGGAATGCGAAGATTGTTTAGAAGGACCTGTGGAGAGCAACATATTAGCTCCACAAGAAAGCTGCAAGATGCTGAGTCAGTCACGTGGAGGAGAGTCCTTCACCCTGGAGGCCAAAATCCAGCTGATGGTAAGTGTGCAAAAGGTCGAGCAGAATGGGACATTTATTATTATTATGTTCATAATAGTCCCAAAGCAGAAACAACCCAAGAGTTCATCAGCTGATAAATGTGATCTGCTCCTACAATGCAATATTATTTGGCATAAAAAGAAATGCACTGATACATGCTACAACATGGATGACCCTTGCTGAGTGACATCATGCTGAGTGAAAGAGCAAGACGTAAAGGCCACATATTATGTGATTCCATTCATAAGAAACGTCCAGAACAGGTGAGGCTAGAACAGGCAAATCCACAGAGACACAGCAGAGTAGTGGTTGCCAGGAACTGGAGAGAGGAGGCAATGGAAATGACTGCGGGCGGGGACAGGATTTCTTTTGGGGGTGATGAAAATGTTCCGGAATTGGATAGTGGTGATGATTTGTGAATATACTAAAAACCACTGGGTTATATACTTTAAAGGGTGAATGTAAATATTTTATGGTATGTGAATTATATCACCTCTTTTTTCAGTGGGGATGATGGTAGCTAGCCCACAGAACAGACTTTTGAGCTACTTCCACTAAAGTATCAGAACTTTATTAAGAAAGAACAATGTGAAGTTCACGTTTTTGGGTCAAAAGGGCATTAGCATGGGATGTCTTCTCTGAGTACGCAATGCCCCAATACAGCCTGCTTAGGTTATGCCTTAGGAAACTTATGCTCCTCTTGCAGTCGACATTTGACCTTTCCAAGAACAGGAAGGAGCCAGCTGTAATTTTCCTGAGCTTATCTGAGGGTTGGTGTGAGTTTTTAGAATGACTGTTCAAACTGTAAAGGGCTCCCTGCAGACCAACCGCCCTGCTTGGACTGGGCCCCAATGTGCATGATTTTTAGATGCCTGTTACTCCTGGATGGCTGTTGAATTAAAGTCAAGGGAGAGATAAATTACCTCTTCCGTAGTGATAGGAGTGATGGTTTTAAAATGAAAAATATTCTAACTCGCTGACCCAACAATCTGATGACTTGACTCCAGACTACCCATGAAATATATGTGTGTAAATACACACACATGTATGTTCACCAGAACATATTTCAGAGTTAGAAACTACACAAATGCCCATGAATATGGAATAATAAAATAAATTATAGGATATGCATACACTGAAAAGCCAATAATCCATCAAAGAGAATGAAGTAGATCAATATGCTCTGACATGTAAAATAACCATGATATATTACATTTAAAAAAAAATCAGGTACACAACAGAACAGTATGGTCTCATTTAAAAAAAAATAATTACATGTTAACATATATTTAGAAAAAACCTGGAAGAAGTATACACTAAGTTATTAATAGTTGAATCTGGGGGGCAGGACTCATGGGCACTTAATCATCACAGTATATTTTTGAGGTTTAAATCACTTTGCAGAGTATATATCACTAATAAGCAGAAGCAAAATTATTTTTATAAAATAAAAATGGCAAAATATTAATGGTAAATTGCAGAAAATTAAGCAAGTTTTGGGCTTGATGGCCATAAGTTTGTGTGCTACCTTTTCCCGGAAATGCTCGTTTCCTGCGGCTGCCACCAGGTAAAGCCTCACGGCCTCGCTGACTCCATCGTCCTCCCCGGTTAAGAGCAGGGCCAGAGCCCTGAGCACGTCCTGCTGGGCTGGGAGGCTGCCGGGTGCCAGGCCGCTCAGGGCCCGAAGCAGTTTTCCGTCTCTCAGTGATTGCAGAGTCTGCACTATGGAAACTGAAGTGAGAATAAAAGAGCATTCGCCTTCCGACGGTAAAGCAACGAGCTCGTTAAAAAAAAGTAAATAAGACTCAGATATATACATAATAACAGAGCCAAGTACATAGGAAAAATTAGCATATGATAAAGGGGATGTTTCCAATGAGAACAGCACAGATTGTTTAGATAACTACATTAAGGAGAATGGCAAATTATAGGAGAAAAAAGCGAAGGTGGATCTCCATGGCATAACTGCTACTAAAATGACTTATAGATGAATTAAATAGTCAGATGTAAAAATATATAGTGAGGAAGATACAAGTGAACACTTTTTACAGTCCTCCTGATGGAGCAAACTCTGTTGCCCCTTTGCCTTTTATTCACACCCGTTTGGCAAAACCCTAACCCTGAGTGACCCCAGCTCTGCGTTCTGTCTGCACTCAGGTAACTGCGCCCTGATGGAATCCAGTTAGTTGGTTGGAAAATGATAAAAAAAATATATAGGGTTTTGAATCCCATTTGGACAAACTGACTTAAGTATTCCATGACTAAGGACTGTATGCTAATCCCTAACTAGATATCCAGCATGGGCGTCCATGAGCCACAAAAACATTAGGATAAGAGTGTGTCTGGTCAGCACAGATGGGAAAATATAAGAAAATATTCATGTTCTATCAATGGAACAGCATCCTGTACACAATAGACAAGTTTGTGAATTAGAGATTTTTTTTTTTTTTTGCTTTAATTTCCTATTTTTGCTGCTGTGGTTGTTCTGGTAATTTCACTGCTTTTAAATAAATACCCTAATAAAAAGTCTCAAGATATGTAAACAGCTAAATAAATAATGGGAAACAACCAAAATGTTCAATAATCAAATACATTAGTATATATTCAAGTGCAGAGATACTGTACAACTAAAATAAATCTTTCAAAGAATTAATAACATGGGATATAATGTCATTCTATAATGTGTAATCACAATTTTGAAATTTAAAACCCAGGCACACTCAACTGAAAAGTACATTAAAATTTTAAAAGTAGGAGAATGGGTGACTTGAACTTTTTCCTTTATATTTCTCTATGTTTTCTGAATTTTTTATAATGAGAGCCTTTTCCTCTTATAAGGAAAGGAAGAAAGACATGCAAAAGGTTCGGGTTTTTTCTATTTTATTTTTCATTCCTACTAATAAATGAGTAGTTCCTTCCAGGGGCCCTGTAAGAAGAAGCTTAGAGACATTAACTGCCACAGAAGTAAAGTGAGTAATTTAGAAATTCGCTCAGAAAATTGATTTAGACTGACAAATTTAGAATCAAGAAGTGAAGGATATAATAAAGTGAGGCCCTCTGCTCCTACGCCAGGGTCTCTCGCCTTGGCATTCTCATTCTCCTGCTCGCCAGCATTTGTATTCTTTGGGGCTATGCACAGACACTGCCCTGTTCAGGCTGCTGCGACACTGGGTGGAGGAAAATGTCTTCTTCTCACTGTGATGCCACCCACCGTGCAGGAAATGTTGCAGGGCTTAATGTTTTGGAAGGAGAAGGGTTGAGCCTGGGTGTGGGTCAGACACATTGCTGCTGCCAGGTGCTGAGCCAAACCGTCTGGTCCCAAACAACACAGCTTGCTCCTCCTGTCCCCTTCACCTGCACTATCGGGCCGCAGAGGATTCACAGAGCCCACACTTGGGAACCAGAAACGGCCCCTCACTGCCTGGCTCTACTCCCAAAGAGGTTTTAATTCATGGCAGATACTGATTTTATTTCTAATATGTGAAGTGTCCTATAAGAAGGCAGTAACAAGCTCCGTCATTGCGCCCCCACATTGGTGCCCGTTCTCCTCATTCCCTGGACATGCGGCCTAGGTCTGGTTTTCTGTCCTTCCCTCCTTCCCCTTCTCAACGTGTGCCCCCACTTGCTCTCTTTGGAACCAGATTTCTGCTTATTATTATGAAAGCATCACCAAAATGGTAACATAAAATAGTACTGCCTGTAGGCTTGATCGCACAAATGGTGAACACATTGATGACCGAAAGAAATTACAGTGAGTCTTTTTACCAGCTTCCTGGTAATGGTACACCCTGCTGGATGGTCTCAGTAAATCCCTGGTTCATTGCTAAAAGGCTTACTAAGGTGAAAGGTCCAGAAGTCATTTAACAGGCAAATCTCAGCCCAGCTATTGACTAGGCAAGAAAAAAGTTACCATCACTAAAAACTGTGACAAAAAACGACCAGAGATAACTTCAAATTGAGCCACCACAAAGTGTGACCAAAGAACACATCCCACCTTGCTTGGCCAGCTGGTTCAGGTAACTCTCCAGGTCGCTCACACCGTGGCTGGTGAAGTAACTGTAATACTGGAAAACAGTGATGACCTCTGAGGACAGGCTGGAGGAAAGCAAAGGCTCAGCCCGGTCCAGGATTTGGGACACCAAGGTTCGAAACACTATTGGTAAAGAGAAGATACAAAGCAGCTTTTAAGAAACATGAGCATTCATTCATTCATTCATTCATTCATTCATTCATTCATCTTTTTATTGTAGAATAGGAGAGAGTGAAGCATGCAAGTGAACTAATCCTCAGGGAACAGCCAGGTGACTTCTGCATACCTATACACTGCGCGACTACCATTTAGATCGAGACACAGGACATAGCTGGCACCCTAGCAGGTTCTCTTGCGCCTCTTCCTATAGCTACTCGCCTACCCCCACCATAGGCCACCAATAATCTGATTTCTGTCAACAGAAGTTTGCCTGTTTCTGAACTTCACTTAAATAGAATTATACAGTATGCACTTTCGGTATCTGATTCCTTTTACTCATCAAAATATCTATGAGATTCATCCAAAGCGTTGCCTGTAGCAGTGATTTATTTTTTTAAAAAATTGCTGTGTAGGAGTCCAGTCAAGACAGTGGGAGTAAAGGTATATCCAAAGGGTATACCTTGTGGTCATGAAGGGCCTGGGAGAGGAGGGGCAAGAGTTGCTTCAGTCTGAATGTGCTGCCCCTTTACATGCATCTCAGAAGGTCACCTGCTTCTGGCAGGACCAGCAGGAGGGATGCACAGGAAGAGCCACCAGGCCGTGGTATACCCTACTGTATGAATATATTACAATTTATCCATTGTCTTGAGCATGTGAGTTGTTTCCGGTTTTTGGCTTTTGTCTGTAAAGCTGATATGAACCTTCTAATACATGTCTTGTTTTTTGTGAGTATAAGCACACATTTCTCTTGATATATTTAGGAGTGGAATTGCTGGATCGGAGGGAAGGAGTATATTTAGTGTTAGTAGAAATGCCTAACAGTTTTTCCAAAGTGTTTATACCATTTGACACCCTTGTATTGCTGACATACTTTAGTAGCAATACAAAAATACAGTGCCTTTAAAAGTCACTTCTGATGTTCTGAGTTATGACATGTTCAATGTCATTCTGTTCTGAGATCTTACTGAGTAGGTGATGGTTCTCTGGAGGGTAAGCTGTTTTTCACGGGTGGCTGTGGGAGAAGAGGCAGGGGGAACCCTACTGGCGCTCACTCTTGCACCCCAGGACAGAAATGCTTTCCTCCCCTCCGTATTGTTGTTCTCTACCTGGGTCTGCAAGTCCTGGATAGTCTCTGTTGACACTTCCGGCAAAGCTGGCTTCCAGCTGCTTAATCACTCTGTCAGCTGAGCTGTGATAGACACCAACTGGGCTGCAGCACTTGGTCCAGAATGACAGCAAAGACATCTTTTTGTGGAATTCTGGAATGGCTAGAGAAGAAGGGCACCAAACCCAATGAAGCAGATGGAGGGACGTACCTGGGTGCAGGTGGGGCAGGTGTCCCCAGGGGCCTTTTTTTTTTTTTTAAGACTGTTAGTTGGCAGGTGGTCTAAAAGATAAAGAAGTCATTTTGAGGAACTCTGCAGCCTGTTTGCTTTCAGTGAGAGAGAACCAGCAGCTCTGCTCTTGGGAGATGCTCTAGTTATCTCATCTCCTATAACTTTACAGCAAACAAACTACAAGATCAGAGAATCAAACCTCAGAAGGTTTTTCTGAAAGGGATGGAGCAGAACCATAGGTGGCTGCAGGAGGTTTTCTCCTGTCTAGTGGCCTTCAGACTGAGATGATTGATGGGCCCTGCGCCAGGGAGCTCAGGGTCAATATTCCACCCTCACCCTCATGTGGTTGTGGTCATGAAGGGCCTGGGAGAGGAGGGGCAAGAGTTGCTTCAGTCTGAATGTGCTGCCCCTTTACATGCATCTCAGAAGGCCACCTGCTTCTGGCAGGACCGGCAGGAGGGATGCACAGGAAGAGCCACCAGGCATTTAGACTTAATCAGAGATAACCCAGGAGAATCTAGTGTCCCACTGTTCCTACTAAACAGCCGAACAGCCGATGTGAAAAAAGACATAAATTCTTGTCTTTATAAAAGAGCCCTGTCACCAGACCACACAATTCAAAGGCGTCTTCCCCATGTCAAGTCCTCCACCTAAAACTCTCTGACTCAGGAATCCTCATAAAGGCCTGTGAATCCATGTATTTCTATGTTTTCCCCATAGGGTTTTGGGGCATCTTTTTGTTTGTTTGTTTGTTTGTTTGCGGGGAGGGAGCATCTTGCACTTGACAGTCGGCCACTATGGGAGTTATCTTAGCCGGCTCCATGGCATGAGAACAATACTGATCATATGTTCCAACACAGAACCACACGAGCAGAAACAGTCTGTGAAAATGCCTAGGAGGTGATGCTAGTGCTGCTTGTATACATTTTGGGGGTGGAGGCCCCTGTAGAAAAAGCGATATGTCTGGTTTGACTCCGAAGGCTGAAGCGGGGTGTTAATGAGAGCCACTGGTGTGGAGACATCTCCCTACTCTATGGTCCAAGAATGCTTTTCTGCTATCGATACTGACAAAATAGCGAACAGACACAGCAGAGGTGTGGGCCAGTGGGCTCACTGTTGGCATGAGTGGTGGTGTCATGCACAGGGGCTTACCTTCCACGACAGAACTGATGTTCCCTGTGTTCTCGTCACTGACCGCTGAGAGTTTCTCCATCACCTGAATTTGCCTAGAAAGCTTCTCTAAGAGATTTCTCGCCACAAAAGGGGTTTTGCTCGAGAAAACAATTTGCTGATAAAACAAACAAAACCACCATTTCAATTACGTTCTTGTCAACAGTGCTTTCCCTCCCCAACAGCGTCCTCTCTACATGCAGTGGTGATGCTGAGTAAACTCATACAGCGTTTCTGTTACATGAACATGTAACTGTCCATGCTGGTTACAACAGCTGAGGAAATTAGACACGTGTTTTGTTGCTTTAAACTTTTTTCATGCCGTATAAATTCTGGAATGTTTTCTGTAGTGAGCTTCAAGGTTATTGTACATTCACAAAATCTCTGAAATGAGGAGGTCATATTTAGGTTGCATATCAGTATGTAAACAGAAAAAGATTTATTTTACACATGTAGTAATTTTTCACAGCATGGGTGTATTTCATTGTTTTCAAGCTGAAAATTAGGAGCATGGTGTATAATAGACATAATTATAATCAAGCTATCTCATTTTAATTGATGAGTGCTTATTAGGGAGCAGGTGCTGGTAAGAGCCTTAAACTTAGATCAGCTCACACTATTTCTCACGACAACACAACGAGGTGGGTACTGCCGATATCCCATTTTACTGATGAGGAAACTGAGGTACAGAGAGGTTAAGTAACCTCTTCAAGGACACATAAATAGTAAGTGATTTTACTTGTGTGCAGTTCACAAGAATGAGGAAGGGCCTAACAGAGGAAAGGACAGAAGGCATCTGCTGTCTGAAGGTTCTAGATTTTTCTGTGTCCTGGTTACCTGGTAGGCATGAATGTGGGATGCAGACCTGTACTACCAACCTGTACCATCTAAAGCCTTTGGACTCTAAAACAAATAGAATTTTCAAATGTAAAAGTCTAGTTCAGCAAATACATTACAAATAAATTACTTTATTTTAAACTTAATTATAGCTATTAAAAAATGCCCATTTTTCTCTCTGCAATTATATACTAAATGAATAAATAAACTCACTGATTCAGAAGTAAGTGTGAGTTACAAATCAATTTTTTAAAATTTATTTATTTTAATTAGTTTCAAGTATACAGTACATTGGTTAGACATTTATATAGTTCGTAAAACGATCCATCCCCCCAATTGCTCCCTCTTTCCCCTGACCCTCCACCTAGACAAAGTATTAAGGCTAATTGCATTCCCTATGCCGTGCTCCGCATCCCTGTGACCGTCTACTGCTACTAATTTGTACTTCTTTATCCCTTTACTCCATTCTCCCAGCCCCCCAAACCCCTTTCCCCTCTGTCCATCACCAAATTATCCACTATATCTGTTAGTTTGTTTTTGATTAGTTTGTTCTTTTTATTCCTTAGATTCCGCATATAAGTGAAATCATATAGTGTTTATCTTTCTCTGACTTAAATACTTTCTAGGTCCATCAAAGCAATATCTTTTTCCATCCCCTTCCTTTTAGTCTGTGTGTGTCTTTTAATCTGAAGTGAGTCTTTTGTATTTTTTCTTAAAGAAGTCCCTCCAACATTTCTTGTAATACTGGCTTGGTGGTGATAAATTCCTTTAGCTTATTTTTGTGTGGGAAGCTCTTTATTTGTCCTTCAACTCTAAATGATAGCTTTGCTGGATAAAGGATACTTTATCCTTTATCCTGGGTCTTCATCCTGTTGAATACTTTTTGCCAAGCCCTTCTGTCCTGCATAGTTTCTTTTGAGAAATCAGCTGCTAGTCTTATAAGTATTCCCTTATCTGTTTTTCTCTTGCTGCTTTTAATATTCTTTCTTTGTATTTAACCTTTGGCATTTTAATTATGATGTGTCTTGGTGTGGGCCTCTTTGGATCCCTGATTTTTAGAATTCTCTGAGCTTCCTGGATTTTATGTCCATTTCCTTCACCAGATTAGGGAAGTTTTCCATCATTATTTCTTCAAACAGCTGTTCAGCATCTTTATTTTCTTCAGTTACACCGATCAGAAGGATATTAGGACCCTTAATAGTGTCCCATATGCTCCTTAAATTATTTTTATAGTCTTGGCATCTTATCCCTTGCCATTCTGCTTGTGTGTCTTTGGCTTTCCTGTCCTTTTGATCTTTTTCTTTATTCACTTTGTTTATTCCATTTAATATACTTCTCATCTCAGGTAATGTGTTCTTCATTTCAGACTGGTTCCCTTTTATAATTTCCATTTCCATTTTTGAGTGTTTTATCTCTTTGTTGAAGTTCTCTACAGTTCTCAAAAGTTCATTGAGCATCTTTATAACCAGTGTTTTGAACTCTGCATCTGTTAGATTACTTGACTCCATTATATCTGGATCTCTGTTCTGTTCTCTCATATGGCTTCTGCTTCTTTGTCTTCCCATTTGACTGTCTTTCTGTGTCTGTTTCTATGTACTAAGCAAAGCTCCTAAGTCTTCCGGTCTTATTAGTGCAGATTTGTGACGTAGGTGTCCAGTGGCACAGTTCTGAGAGGGATTCAGCTGCAGGCCAAACTTAGCCCAAGCCTCTACACCTCTAGGGCCACCTGTTAAGATTCAGCAAGCCATCAACAGATGCTGTGCTTACAGTTGCCTCAAAAGGCCACACCAGAAACCGAGGCCAGCTGCCTCCAGTGTGAGTCTAGGTGCTGCTCAGCAAGGAGCACCTGACTCACTGAGGCTATACCTGGATGTGGCTTGGGTGGGGGTGGGGCCCAAGTTGGAGGAGGCGGGGTTTCAGGAAATCCTCTGGGCAGCTTGACCTCTGTTTTTCAGTTTGATGATGTCTCGGCTATGGTGGCGCTGTGTCCATGCACTGGTATGGGGGGTGTGGGGGGATGGCGCTCAACAAGGAACGATGGATACTGCCGGCACTGCTGTACAGAGTGAATCTTGCCCTGGCCCCCACTCCAACAATGTCTCCCTGTAAGTCCCTGGTGCCTCCTTCAGAGCAAGCGAAAATTTGCTCGCGGACGCGGCCCCTTTAAGAGGCGTCTGCCGCTGCCGCAGCCTCTGTCTCACTCAGCTGCTGGGGACCGGGCAGCCCTGTGTCCTCTCCCCTGCCTACCTTCTGCCATTGCATTGTATTTCTCCCTATTTGTATGGCTTGTTCATCTAGATCCCAGGTGATTTCTTCTTGCTGCTGCTCCTTGTTTCCGTCACAACTTTGATTTGGTCGCCAAGGGATGAACAGAGCCTCTATCATCTATGCCATTTTTTTCGGTCTCTCTAGAAATCAATTTTTTAATCCTCACTCCTTCATTCTATGTATTTACATTACCTCTTTTGTTTTTCTAGTGGCGATTTTAACCACAAAAGAATTGAATTCTTATTATCATGGACTTATCATAGGGAGAAACATTGGATTGAATATTGCATGCCAATTAGTCTTTGGGAGAAAACATTCACCCCTTCATGGAAGATAGTCCTCTTATGTCTCACAAAATAAAGGACTTTACCTCTAAAAGGTGAACAGGTGGTTTGCTAAGCACAGAATCAGACTCAACAAGAACTAAGAGCTGTAAAAACCATCTCATTCAAATGACTAGTGAATAGAGAATAGCTCTAAGTAAATAACAATCTTTGCCCATTTGGGTCAGAAAAAAAATGGCACCTTTGGCCTGATTAGTTGTCAGTATTATGGCTTGTAAATCCAAGAGTCAACAAAAGAGATCAACTGGGGTGTTGGCCAACCAAGTGGCAAGAATTGTAACTGCCAACCAGTTTCCCACAGCACATCAGTGGCCTGAAGCCACTTTGGGGTTCTTTATTCATGGAGGAGAAGCACATTCTTCATTGCATCATGAGTGTATTACCGAAGAAGCAGCAGTGCCCCACTTCTGGCCTTCCTGGGGCCCCTTCCTCCTCACCCTGCCTCTTGCCTTCCAGTTTGCCCATGCTCTTTGGAACACAATCCTCCTCTTTTTGTACCCTTCCTGATCATCCCATCCCCCTGCAACCATTATTCATTTACTTTTGCATTCTTTCCTGTTCCTCACAGGTCTAAGCAAGGTGGTTAAAGGACAAGATTGGGAGAAGACAAGCAACCAGGCAAGGAGGAAGCAGTTAAGCAAATGCTCAGGGGAAAACGCTTCGTTCAAGATTACTGAAAACCTTCACGCAACAAAAGAATTTCAAAATATTTTGCACCACTGTTGCAAAATCTTAAGTGGTAAGCAGGTTGAAATGGGAAGAAAAATAAGCTTCATGGTGTCTCAGAATGAGAGCTAACTGGTGATCATAATGACCTACAGAAGTGTTCTTTCCTGTTGCTAAGAAGTACTTATTCAAGATTTGGGAAACCATGGTTCTATTCTGCAGCATTTTGCTGTTAGCTATTCAGGTGGTGGAAAACTCATGTGACATGTTCATATTAACATATGTTCAGTAATACTGACTTTCAAAGTCCATTTGTTGAAGGCAGAATGTAAATTCCTTTTTTAATTAATCACATTATTCCCTTCTGTTATCAAATGATTTGAAAGTGAGAGCTAACCATATTTTGCCTACTTTCTTGTGAGGTCTGGAGATCTAGGTTTTAAGATGGGAAATCCAGGGTGGAGGGAGGATGGGTGCATCCATCAGAGTTTTGAGTTGGCTGGAATCAAAGCAGGACTGTTTTCTTATTTTTGAATTCTAATGACAAAACTAAAAAAGGAAGCGTACTTTCTTGGTGCATAAACAACTTGGGCTCTAACCCACAAATGCAGTCACCAATCCTACCTGAACGAGTTGGGTGCAGTACTGTAGGTGCCTGACGATGGTGATGTCCAGGCTTTCATTTCCCGTGGTGAGTGGGAGAGGGCTGCCTGCCACACTAGTCCCGACTCCTGTGTCCTCAGTCAGCGCCTCGCTAAGATGCCCCCTGGCCTCTGGGTGTACAGATCTGTAACTGTTGAAGCAGGAAGGTGAGCAAAACATTAATGATTTCTTTCTGTGTGAAAACCACAGGTCAACAGAATATGGCTCACATAAAGCCTCCAATAGCAGCACCCCCACTGACAATTTTGAAAAGCCAAAATACCTTTCAAAAAACTACTTAAATTCAGCCTGGTCGCCAATTTGCCTAACTTTATAAGATCATGCAAACAAATTGCTTCCGGAGTTCTCTGTTCGCTTCTCTAGCACAATGAGCCCTTTGGAATGTCGCTCGCCAAGAAGTCTTTGAAACTTGTTCTCACGCTGCACTTGCACTTTCCTGCTCTGCCGATGGGGTGATCTGACAGATTTTCTGGGATTAAACTGTATTCCATACTGGTGGTTTTCCCAGAGCAGTACCATTAAGAAATAATCTGCCAAGGCTTTTTCCTGGCCTCAGATCTACTGCCACTTGAAGAGAAGGAAAAAAGAAAGCCGCCAAGAAGAGACATGATGTTCTAGCGACAAAAGCTAAAAGGGCACTTGAATCTTTAGAGCACAGCTTAGTTTTGCCATGCAGGCTTCGTTCAAACCCCACTGCTGAACTGTCTAAAGTTATGTCACGGTGGGCACTTACATTTCCAAATAAATCTGTTGCATCTACTGTCTAATTCTTTTATTCTTGAAATGAATGTGTGTGCTAGCGAGGGAGTTGTCTCATTTCACACATGGGAGGACAGAATTGCAGAGACGTAAGCAGAGCATCCGGGTTCACAAGCTGAGCAGCTTCTGGCTTCTAGTCTCAAATGTCTCAGTCTCCACAACTTAAAAAGATCACGCATTGGAGCTTAGAAGCATTGGATGCTCTACTCTGATTCACATTTGCCCCCAAAGAGAAAACACCCTGGATTCTGGCAGGCAACACATGGTGGTCAACACATATTTAAAACACAAGCACATTGATTGTTAACTAGGTTTCTGTTCTACATGTTGATGTTTCCAGTACACACACACACACACACACACACACTCACACTTGATTTAAACATCAAAACTGATTTTCTGTTTACATGCTCTCTTTAATCCTGAAGACATGAGAACCTAACAGTGGAATTTATCTCCTTAAATCTCTAAATTCACACTTCATAATAGAAATGTTGGCTATTTGCTTAAGATTAATACCGATGATGTTTGATGATTCTGGTTCACCTTACACATTATGTGTAATAGAAATGCTGGGAATTCAAGAATTATATTTTGTGATTTACATTATATAGTAAATTATTCAATTATCAATGAAAAGAAATGTAATGTATATCAATAGAATGTTAAAATATATATGGACAAATAATGTTTTTAAGTATAGTATGAAACCCCCCAAAAATAATAATAAAAAATAGAACACAAGCACATTTTTCACAATTTCCCCTAATACCTCTGATGATATATAGTAAGATTGATCGGATATATTTAATATCAATGTTATGCAAATGTACAAAAGCTATGATGTTTTTGTTGTTAGAATGCTTCTTACAGCAAGAAGAAAGTTTAGGCTGACTTGATCCATCATGTAGTAGTTTAAAATAACAAGTTATACAGAAAAATTTTTGGTTTAAGAAGCATTTTACAGATTCGATTAAGTCAGAAAAATCTCAGTGTGGAGTATAGAAGTATAACTTAAATCATTACAATTAATTTAATAAATTTTCTTTGCTATGCCCTGAATTTGCTCTAGGGATAAATTCTATTTCCCACTTTTTCTTTTTGAAGAATAAACCCTCCAGGGTCAACAAAACCGAAACTATTACTGCTGCCCGCGGGGGTAAAGGGGGTAGGGTTGGGGCCGGGGGGCGGGGTTTTGTGTAACTTGGAAACCTGTTTATATGACATGTCGAGGTAAGACGGCTGGGAAATCTACCCTTTCCTTGGGGAAAGCGGTTGTGTATTTTTTGCAGCAACCGATGGAGGTATGTTCCCCTGATAAAGAAGGTGACAATGTTTCACTTTCATCCTCCCTTCCCACTGACCCACTCCAGCCCCATCCCAGCGATGGCCACACTCTCCACTTGGAGGGCTGCAGATCCAGTGGTAGTTGTAATCATCCTTTCTTACATTCTAAGGGCAATATGCATCAGGGGGCTTAAACCTGGCTTTGAGATGTGCATCCATGAGATGAATCTACTGCTAAGACCCACTGGGCTGAAGGGAATGAGAGGTAAAGGGGTGGGGACAGAAAGGTGTAAGGAAAGAAAGAGATTAAAAATAGATGCAAACCAAGGCTTACCTATTTTTCTCAGTCTCAATGTCTGAAAATACTGAGTCGGCACCTCCTCCAATAGTACAAACCTCATCACCATCCTCCTCCTCGTCAAAATCAGAGGTGTTCAGGAAATCAAAGCTTTCTAAAGCACTCTCAACTGTAAGACTTAAGCTGGAAGACCTGCTGCGGCTTCCTGTGGGCTTGCACTGAAAAGGCAGAAGGCACCAAGGAGACCATCAAACACCCAGAAAGAGGAGACGCAAGACACCCAATCTGAGAGTGACACCTTCTTTGTTTCAAGCTTTTATTTTTTTATTTTTTGTTGGCATTAAAAAGGACACATTTTAAATCTTCATATTAAAAAAAGAAGTACAACCATGGATAAAATAAAATAACACAACATGTAGGATTTGTTCCAAAATAATTCAGAAGGAAGTAAGCAGGTAGCAGGATAGACGGAACGAGATTGGCTATGAGCTGGGCATGGTGGAAGCTGGGGTGGGGGTTGGAGGGCACATGGGTATCTATTATATATTCGCTCTACTTCTGTTTGAAATTTTTATAATAAAAAAGTAAAAAATATATATATTACAACCAAGAAGCCTTGGGAAACAAAATTGCCACACTCCCTCTGCCTCGTGCTCTACACCAAGTAAAATACAACCAGCAGACAAATTGAGACTCATGGAGTCAGTGACGAATAATAATCAATTTCTAATTCTAAGTGGCACCATCTTCAGTGTGCTGTGATGGGAGCTAGCTAGCCAAGGCACCTGTTCTAAAAAATTAAGAAAATAAATCTCAGAAACAGAAAACTGCTCAAATTTACCTAACCCACACTCCCTAGGTAAGTAGCCTTAAATACTAATTTTACATTTCCAGCTTATAATTTTTCTTTGAGCATCAAGGAGAAAATGAATGGCACGGGCACAATACGAAGTAGCCCTGCTTTCTCTGCCTTTGAAGAAACAAGTTTCGTCACTTCCCTGGCTGGGCCCCGGAACTACGGGAACAAATCCATTCTATGGCCTGAAGAAATCTGTATCACTGGACACATACAGAGACATTACAAACAATAACGTCCGTTGCTACGGGCACAGAGGTGGAGAGAAGTACTCCCAAATACTCAAGGGCATGCTGGGGTGGACTGAACGGGACAAGTCCTGCAAGTTAGAAGAACTAAATGTCCTCCATCCAGTTAGGTGGCACTCCTTGCTGACTTCTTAACACAAGGTAGGAAGGGCCTTGCAGGGGTCTGTCTCTGACATTCAAGATGACACAAAAGCACACGGTCTTTTAAATCAGAGTTGTTCATTCACCCTCAGAGATCTCCGTCCAAGATGCAGCATCATTTAGTTTCTGATCCTCAAGATGTTTAGCATCCTAGGAATGTGAAGGGGGAAAAAAAGAGAAAGCTTTGTCCAGCTGATGCTTTAATGCTGGCCAGAGACAAAGCCACTTGCCCCTGATCTAAATTCTGATGCCCTTTCCAACCTCAGAGGGAGAGAAGGAGCCAGTCCTCACTCAATTAATTTCTAGGGTTTTCTTTCCTAAGCTATATGCAGAACTTGATTGTGCGTAGTATGGATGTGTTTATATATTTTAATCACAACAAAGAAAGTAGCTGTTAAGGATTTTAGTAGCAGGATAGTTTTGGAACAACGGCAGATTGAAATAACACTCTGGAGAGAAATTTATGACCACCAGGTTTTTTTATAAGACTAAACACTTGCTTAGTGTTTCCTGGTGGACTGAGCTGCTTATCAGAAACTTAGGTGCCTGGAAATGGGAGCCGCCATCACCACTGGCTTTCTCTAGGGTGTCTGCTTTAGCTGAGGTCCATGGTGTCTTAGCCGACTGGTCAATGGTGCAGAGAAAACTTGTTGAGGGGATAAAAAATGCTCTCACTGGAATACTAGACAAACAGACTCCATGCATGAGCCTTAAGTTGACGTTTTTCAGTTATGTTTTATAGAGAGCAGATTCAGAGTGTTCTTCCCTGCTTCTCAGAGGCTATGCCTGCAGCTGACTCTAACTCATGAGCATTCAAGGATCTGGGGAGTCAGCATGAATTATCATCTGCCCTGGGCACGACTCCCTTTCAGAGCCAGCCCAGTATGACCAAGAGGGATAAGATGGTCAAAAAAGCCTTGGAAATGTACCTTCAGATGGCATTAAGAAGGCTACGTTTTAAAACACTCATACAAAGGGATGCAACAGACTTCTGTAGCTGACTCTCAGCTTGCCACTGGCGTTTTATTTTCGAGTCTATTTTCTAGACCAGTTCCCCAAAGAATGGCTCTTTCAAGAAAAAGGATCCTAGCTGTCTTCTCTATGGCAATATAAATCAGAGTGGAAAAGCAAAGAATACAAGAAGTGGTGGGGGATTCGATACAAAAATTCAAGTTCCGTATCCTTGTGCAGTGTTTTTTAAAATTGTGGGGTTAAGAGATGCCTGTGGCTCTCACATCGGGGCTGCGAACTCTGACTTTAAGAGAATGGGTTTCCTGCTTTCCCAATACCCCATGAGGGATGCTAAGCAATAACCCCCCAATGAGATTATGGTGATCAAAGTGCCACCGTTTCACATCTGGAATTAGAACAATTAACTCTGGGACTGAAGGAGTTTAGGTATTCTTTAGAGCTGTTCGTTCGACTCCTAATCATGTTAGTTAAAATCTATCATCAGGAAAATAAAAATTGATATGTGTTACCGGTGTTAATCAGTGCCATTTAAATGGTTCTTATCTACTGATCTTGTGATGAGACAGGATAAAAAAATTAAGATATGCTATTTCAAATAGAATGCTTGCTTAAGACACTCTCCCCAAACCTAACCCAATGTTTCTGAAAAGGTACTCACTTTTAGAATATCGTCCAAATGCATGACTTCTTGGTTCAGATCCTGAAACTCCTTATACTGCTCTTTATGTGGTTCCAGTGCAAGGAAAAGCCCATGAAAGGCATCCTCTAAGCTGCCGTCTAGAAAGGATCGACAGCCTTCGGATTCTCCACTGACAGACCCCTCGAAGAGCAGCTTTTCCGTGGCTGCCGGCACCTCGGCTGAGGTGAGCCTCTTGACTAGCTGCTTTGTGATGTTGCCTTCAAAAGTGTCCAGTTCCACAGGCTTGAGCTCAGAGGCCTCATCGGACTCTTGCATAAGTGCCACTGTGACGTCCTTCTCAAGGAATAGGCGCTCGGCAGAGGCACCTGTGGACGCCCGGTGGGCCTCTGCTTTTCTGGACCCCTCTGTGTCTTCCTGAAGGTGAGGCTTTGGCCCTTGGCTGCCTCCCGAGGAGGTCCTGGAACACGCTGAGCTGGAGTCATCTGTGCCCTCATTCTGGGAGGACAGGCTGCCACGGTGCAGCTTCGCAGGGGTGATGGTGACTTCTGGATTTGCTGAGCATGTGCTGGAGAGAGAGCCAGCTGGGCTGGGGACAAGGGCACAGTCCCCATCCGGCAGGTCGCTGAAGCTGAGAGACAGTGGCATTTTCTGCTCGGCCACCTTTCCCTGCTCGAAGATGTCATCAGGTAGATTAGACTGTGGACAAAAGACTTCACGTTATTATTTTAAAAACAAATGAGGCATCTGGCATGGTTTACTTCCAGATAAAATATAAGGCAATTAAAATAATAAAAAAAGAACTTTATAATAGTAGCACTTTATTTGTTGATTTTGTATATGTGTGTGTGTGTGAGTCTGGCAAAGGAAAACAAGCCCTTAAAAACTATTTCTGTGTTGAATCTAGGTGAAAGTCCATTGCACTATTCCTAGGTTTGACATTTTCTCAAAAGAAGAGGTTGGAGCCAGCGGAACGATGACTATTCCCTAAGTCCCAGGATCTCACACTATTTGTCAGCCATAATTATGAATAATAACACTACCTTTTTCCTTTTTTTTGGCATCTATCTTAAAAGACTCCAACATTCATGCTATTTCACTCAAAAGATGAGATACTTTCTTCTACTTAGGTTCTCATAAATTATTGTTTGAAAATCTTGACCCACATGTCCCAAGCTCTTGAAAATGTTTATTAATTTAGTAACCATGCCACAGATAATTTAAGGTCAGAAATACATTTGCATCACTTCTATAGAAAGAGAAAAAGACTGATACACTAAACATCTATCTTCTAGCACTGCAAATCCCAGAGCTTTCAGGATGTCTGGAAGCCCGAGGGCTCCGTCAAGCCACCCTGGGTCAGGTATGCTCTGTGACTCAGGGAGCAGAACTCAGAAGAGAGAGATCAGAAATATCCAGGTAACCAAGACAATTCGATTATGTAGGCGCAATTTCTAAGCCATGTTTCCTCACACTATGGTCTGTGTATAGTGTCTTAAGTGCTGAATATTGCTTTGTGGGAAAAGTTTTCTAGTTATTTGAGATCAACTCCTTCAAAATGGATAATCTCTCTTGGATTCAAGATTTGATTTTTAAAGTAAATGGTAAGTGTGTAATTTTATTATACATAAAGCAATGAATTATCATAATAGTGCTGGGAATATTAAAAATGTCATAGCAAGTGAAATGGGTTGCAGATAGAAAGACAAGGCTCTGTCTTCCTCCGGCAGTGTCGCTGGTCCCATCACTGCTGGATCTGGAGCCACTAGAGCCCAACACTGCAGTCAGGTCACTCCCAGCTGTTCAGTCTCGTCTGGTTGGAAGGTGATTAACTTTAGCCACAGGAGGAGTAAGAGCACGTCATTAGGGCATTCAAGTAACCTCTTGGGCTCAGCTTCCTCGCTTCTAAAACTGAGAGTGTTTTCCTCTAGTAGTTACTATTGAACCGTGCTCCTCAGCGTCCTGGGGGGCGGGCTGTGGCAAGGGGTTCCAAGGATTCTCCTCAGGAGCTGCCAAAGGGGGGTGGGTTCCAGGTTCCTCTTCTCCATCCCAGCTAATTTACTTCCATTCCTCCCTCCTCTATTTGTACTCCGCCCCCCCCCCACATGTTATATCTCTAGAAAAGATAAAAGGAGGACTCTGGGGGAAGGAGTTCCTGAACCTCCTCTGGGAGGCAGGCACCCCTTAGCATCTCACTGAACGCTGGAGTCCTCCAGTGGTCCTGCCCAGCCTGGTCTCATCTTTAGCACACACATGTCGTGGTGGCTCTGAGGGAGGTGGGGGGCACTAGCTCTGGTGGGGAAGCTGGGAAGTCAAGGTTCTTATTCAAATTCCAAAGTCCTCCCCAGTATATCCCTTGGGTCTCATGTTCCCAACTCACTTTGCACCTTCTCAAGTGGCACGTGTTGAGTTAGAAGTTGAGATGACAGCTTGAGGGGTGGGCCTATAAACAGCTACAGCATGTTTTAACTGAGATGTGATATAATGAGGTAAGAACCAGCAAGGGGGGCAGTGCCTGGGAGAGAGGTGATCCCGGAACCCAACCTTGGAGCGTAGGGAGATACAGGCCAGGAGCAGGGGAGGGAGGGAGTGCATTCTAGAAGGAGCTGTGTGTGTGCAAAGTGTGTGTGCAAGGACAGGAGGTCCCGAGAGGGACATGGGAAAGGCTGCTTTGAGGACACTGGTGTTCATGCAAAAGGCTGCAGGAACCTTCAGTTTTTCCTTACTCTTATTTAAACTATGCTGTTAAAACCTCTACCAGCTCCCTTCCACAACCCCGCAACTTGCAGCATATGAGCAAAAACTATACACGTTAGTCTGAAAGTTGTGGATACAACTGGTCAGCTGGGCTGGTTTTTGATACGTGTTTTCGTGTATATTTCCCCCGTACAGTCTTCCCATTCTCCTTGGAAACTCCACTAGAGTTTAACCTGATCCTTTTTACCTGTTTTTTTTTTTTTTAATTTCAATGAGTAATAGGCAATTATTATTATTAATCTCTGGATATTCAAAGATTATTTTCATATATCTGTAAAGAGCAGATTATTCTATGTATGTATATGGGGTGTGTGTGTGTGTTCTCTTGTGACATAATGTATGCCACATATAATGTAGATTACCTATTGCATTCCTGACAGTGAATTAAAGAGTTTCTTTTACTAAGTTAGCATACCCTACAATAAACTAAGACAAAGAACCTCTTTGAATAAAAACAGCTCTAGTAAAATTGGTTTAAATCCTTCTGAGTTCTTCAAATGCCATTTTTGAAAGCAAAATCTGTGCATAAAGACTGATATCAGTGATAAACTAGTTTATCTTGTGAAATAAAATCTTCTTTGACCTTAAGTGTAATTGTAGTTTTTAAAAATGAAAATCTTGTTACCATGGATATCTTTGCCACAGTGGAGAAAAATCACAGCATGAAATTAGGGATCATTGGAAGAGAAGAACGAGAGGCTTCTCCTACTGAGCTGCATGCAAGACCAAGTTTCCCAGCCCAGGGACAGGACAGTGGACACCAACCCGGGGGGCAAGACAGGGAAGAAGGTAAAATGGGAGACATGCCAGGGCCCACATGCCACAGGCCCCGGAAGCCACATCAAGCAGGCAAGACACCCACACTCACATAAAACTCTAGCACGGTCTTGGGTCTCAGCCTGAGGGAGGGCAGGTCACTGGAAGAGTGGCTGCGGTGCAGCTTGGCAAAGTAAGTGTCTTGCAAGGCACTCAAGACAGACAGCCGCCGGGGCTTGTCTGGTGAAGGGAGCAACCATCTCTTCAGAAGTCAAAGCAAGGGGGGAGGGCGTTAATGGAAAGCATCAGGTTACCACGTTGCGTTAGCTTTTAAGCAAGCGTTTCGATTAGAACATCCACTGCTTTAAAAGGCTGATGATCTTAAAGAATGTTCAGAGAAGCCTATGTGTTATTACTGAAGCAATAGGCGAAGTAGGTGAGGGAGAGGAAAGACAGAGGTTCACCACCCGTGCGCATGCAGCCAAAGGCATTTTGGAGTGCACCTTCCTTGGTCACTGCTTGACTGGGGTGAACTTTAAGAATAACGTTATTAGAAGTTATGGAGAATCTCTAATGTTGTATGTCAAGCATTGCAAATATGGGCGCAAGCACCGCCTCAAGCTCATGTCTCTACTCCAGAAATCCCATTGAACTTACGAAGAAAGAGTGATCTTTGAAGGTGGGCGTTTCTGGGGTGCCCTGGCTGTATATGGACATCCTCCTCTGGAGGGCTGCCGCCTTGTTCCCAGTGCCCGAGGATGTGGTCACGTCCTCCACGTCAAATGGGCTGGAAAACAACAGGTCCCAGTGAAGACACGTTGTGAAAGTCACCTACAGTCACCGGACTGCAGGCCAGGAAAGCACCTCATTTTACTAAAACAAACTTTAACCTGTGGGAACTGGCCAAGTTGGTTTGTCAGAAAATAAACCAAGAGAAAAGAAAGTAGAGCAGAAAACTGAGTCTAAGACCCACCCAGGGAACCACAGGTTATCATTGTGGCTTTAATCACATTTTATCTATCTACCTAGGTATGTCTTTATCTCATCAGCATTAGAAACATAAACATATTAGTACCAGATATTGAAAAAGTCTGTAAAAATTCTTTGAGCTTAATGGACATAGACACTTCAACAAGAGATTATTAACAATAGATTATTGTTCAGTTGTAAAGAAAACACTCAAAAATAGAGTCCCGTTCATTTTAGTTGACACAGTCTCTTGCGTGATTGAGAGGAGAAAAGCAGTCTGTCCACATGGACGCCACTTATCGTCATGCCATCTGGTTCATCCAGCAAGACGAAGCTGCGTTTGAGATACCCATGAGTACAAATTAGGAAGAGGGCTGGGCAAAAAGTGCTGACGCTGATTCAGTGACAAGGCACCAGGGCCTCCTCTGTGTCCTACCCTGACCCTCCGTATTGTACAGGAGGCCCTGGATGCTAACACACAACACATCACAGTGACCTGGTGACACAGCCAAGGCGTAATACCACGTGGAAGCGGCGTGTGTGTTTAGTAATGCGGCATGACCTTCCTTGCGGGGTGACGTGGAAAACCACTTTTTAAGTTCATCGGTTTGACAAAATGTATTTTCTGTTCTTTGGAAGAATTCTATTTCAGTAAATAGAGTGTGGAGGGACTAAAGATATTCAAAATTTCCCAGAGTAGTGAAGGGTACAGGAGACGAAAACATAAGCAACCAAAACACTACGTCGAGAATCAGGATGTTTCTAAAGTCAAAATACCTCATATTGGACAGTTATTTTCTTCTAAATCAGTTTATTTGAGAGACATATTTCCTCATACATATTTAAAGGCAGAGAAAGAGGGAAGGAGGCAGAATAAAATATTATAAAATGGGATATAGGAGAGGAGAATAGTGCTAAGACAGAGGCTTCTCTCATGTTAGCTTGTGTGAACCTCACAGGAGAGCTTGTTAAAAAGATTCCTGGGCCCTGAGCAATGCTGACACAGTATGTTTGGGGTGGAGCCTGAGAGCCAGCTTCTGGAACAAGTTCCCTGGATATTCCGAGGGTCTGTGTACCATCTTTGAACAGCACTAGCCCATAGCATATATTTCTATATGATAAAATTGAAAAGAGGAACTTACTACCAAGCGATTTCCAGGTTCAGTTTGACGGTGCCAAGGTCATTGATGTCAACAGCCAGCACTTGAGGCCGGGCTGCAAACAGCTCTTTGGTCTCACAGGTCACGCTGCCGACCAGGAGGTGGTTTGCCAGCCCTTTGACCTCTGTGACCTTGTCAAAGAGTGAGAAGGAGAGGCGTTAGAGGACAGCAAAAGGGACAGATAGGGCACTCTTTTTCTTCCTAGCCAGTTCAGACATCTCTTTCAGAATCACAGCTAACATCAGAGGTGGGTATTTCCAAAGCCCAGCTGACACTGGCTTTGCCCGCTCTGACACAAGAGAGGCCGTCTTCACCACATACTTGTGATGCAGAGAGGAGTCTCTGGGACGAGGGGGTGGCAGGTGGAAGTTATGAGCAAAGGTTCCTGCCAGCGGGATCATCCAGCTGTGGCACCAGGAGACAGCAGACGGCAGTGACAGTACTGTACCTTGATGGAGATCAGTCCAGCGATCAGGGGCAGGAACACCATTTCCTCTCCGTCCCAGCTCTGCTTGCCATTCACTTCTATTTTGCCTTTCAGTTTCCACCTCTGCCGGCCATACTTCATGAAAATCTGGGAAGAAGAGATAAATGGCACATGATCCGCCGCCTCCCTTCCCGACTAAACACTGAGATCGGAGGGCAAGCAAAAGCAGCAGCTGCCTCCGCCTGCTTCTCCACCGTCTTCACTCCACTCCCTTAGTGTCCACCCTTCCAAATCTCCTGTGAGCTGGCATGTGAAGCAGATGAGGAGACGGGAATAGACTTCAAAAGGAGGAGAGCTCTGTGTCGGAGGCGGGGATGTGGAGTGCTTTCTTCAGTAAAGGGCATCGCACCGTGCCCTTCTGCTCACTCTTGTTGCAATTCCTCCTCGAAGGCCCCAGAGCACAAGACCACAGCATCCCGTCCTTGTTATCGTATTCCCCACACACCATCTCTATGTGCTGTAAATACTAACTGTTAACTGTCCTGTACCCATCGATGTAAAAATGTTTCTCCACTTTGCTTTTGACCCAGTCCTAGAGATCTCCTCTCTTTGCTTTCTCCCATCTTCTTAGTCTCTCACCAGTGAATTTCATGAGACCGTCCTTATGTCTCCTCCTCTGATTCTAACATGCGAAATAAGCGGCAGAACTGCTGTTCTCCAGAGCACTGTCTCAGTCCGTTGAGATCTTGCTGCCGGGCATGACCTCAAATATTTGGCTCAAAAAAAAAACACTTATAAAACTTTTCTATAGGTTTGGCAGGTCTTTTGTTGACACATTCTTAGGAGAAGAATGGGTGAAGGGTCATGATGCTTATACATTACTCTAAAATGGTTCAGCAAAATAACAACAACAACACAGCAAATATGGCATTATGTTAAAAATCGGTGAGTCTAGACGAAAGGTCTCGCATCAATCTCTAAACTTTCTTACTGGCTTAATTTTTTTTCAAAATAACAAATGTAAAAAGAGGAAAGATAATTTAAGACCTGAAATACCGACAGCTGACCCCTCCCTCTCCAGATTTCAATTCCAACGCCCAGCCTGATGCAGCACTTACCTCATACTGATCTCCAGGACAGAGGCGAGCGAAGCCGGCCAGACCTGCAAGCAAGCGATCGGGCGTGAGGTGCCGAGCACATTCCCCCTCCTCCCAAGCCCATACTGGCATATCCACATCGATAAAACTCCCAAGCCCGTACGCCTCCGATTTCGTGAACTCATGCAGTAATCTGGGGGCCCGTCTGTGGGAACAGCTATTGTTGGAATTCCAACCACCACCGCTGGGAGGACATTCCCGGATGAGGGGCGGAAAGAGGGTCTTTCTGCGGCAGAGACGTCTGTGCAGCGGGGACTAGAACTGCATGTACCTGTGGCCGGTTTAAGATCCGAACAGATTCCAGGATCACAGAATTAGGGCCAGAAAGAGATATTAATTTATTTACCCAACATATTCCCTTGTAAGTCAACTGCTCTCTTGTTTTTCTTTCTGTGCCAAGATTTGTGATTTCTAATAAGTGCCTCCCACTTGGGTTAATATTCCATGTACGTATTCCCCTGGCCTCTCCCCAATTCACTCATTTCTCTGTTTTTCTCATCCTATTTATCCAGCATAATAATACTAGCACCTACTGTGTCAGGAAATCACTGAAGGTGAATTATCATTACACAAAACTAGTGATTAAGAAAACAGAATCCAACCAACCATCCAAACAACAACCACCTGTATCCCCAAGATGAAGGTGGGGCTTCTCTACTGCACCAAGCGGCAAGTCGTTCCTAACGGGACATGGTCATTTTGAGACCTGGTGTGACATCCAGAGCAGCAGAAAACACACATCTTGTTAGACTATATGGCCACTATCCTGGGACATCTCAGGGACTCTAAGTTCATGGTTTTTTTCTTTCTATAGACAGTTATTGAGAGCTCGCAGTATGTGAACATCTATGCTTTGGTGGTAATAGTCTGGAAATTCAGAGAGACTTTACCAGTACCCACAATCTGGAGCAAAATATGGTTAAAGCCCATAGGAATGAAACAGACAAGGACCTGTAGGCAGTAAGGTGGAGTTAAATCTAAAGTTGATTTCTTTTTAATCTATCAGCTAGCCTACTTTAGATCATTTACCTAACGCCAGTTTCTTCACCTTTCAAATAGGGATAACAATGTCCACCTCATAGATTGTTTGTAAGGACAATAGACAGCGTTGGCACATAGTAGGTACTTAATCGGTGATGATAATTAGATATCCAGGAGCGTGATGATACTATTTATTGAGCACATGTCATTTACAGTTCATTTAAAAGATGTAATTGATATGAAAAAATATAGCAAACTGACACATGGGAGGGAGGACGGCAGTAGAGAGACAGTAAAAAGAGATCTTTACTTTTTTCTATATTTTGAATTTTTTAAGACTGTTACTTGTATAATGAAAACAAAGCAAAGGAGCTCTATTTCAGTTAATGTAGGATAGTTTCACGGAGGAAGAGAGGATTTAAACAATAGAATTTCACCTCTGGGAAATGAAGGCATGGGCGAGAAGACACCTCCAGGCGGAGTGAATGGCGTGTATTCATTCAACAATATTTCCTTAAGGCCTACTGTGTGTCAAGGATGGATAAAGTTGTAGGGAGGAAGGCATGTGAGTCACACGCATGCAATGAAAGCAGGGGACTAAGTTGTTAGTAGAGGTTTATCAGTAATCTCAGCTTTACGGTAATAAGCTGATTTCTTGCCAATCACAAGGCAAAGCCCTTTATCCTAATAGGGACCGGAAGACAAAGTTTTAATCAAGGAATAAAACAAATTTAATAAAAATGGGCCAAAACTTTTGCACTTTTCATTTTCTGGTGAAAAGAACCCATTACATTTTATGATAAAAAATTCTAGTTCAGAATTCAGTACAAATCTTTAGAGTGAGCTTTTAATAAAAGACAGTATTTATAATGTAATATGTATTAAGAAAAAAGGGAGAGAGGATACAAAACTTTACGTAGAATATGACCTCCACTACATAAAAATGTATCCACAGAAAAAGAAGTCTAGAGAAACATACCAAACTGCTAAAAATAATTATCTCTGAAAGGGATTATGGAGAAAGTTAAATGTTTGATATTAAATAGTATTTTTTATTTGATTTTTTTTCAAATAACGTGCATTTATTTTGGAAGAAAAAAGACATACGTTGGCAGGCAGCATCTACACAGAAAAAAGGCTGGTTGGATATTCATGACAGTTTTAACAAATGTTAGCACTTAGTGGAGTGATTATGTATGGTTTTAGTTCTTGGTATGTTTCTTAGTATTTTAAAAAATGAGAAGGTACCACTTTAAAAAAGTTAAAACAGAGAACTGGGAAGATCAAAACAATCCTTCTCTTTTCCTACAGCTGGCCTAAGAGGAAATAATTTTGATTAGCTGGTATGGAAGCAGTCCCGTGGTTCTCAGATTCCTCACGCATAAGCCTCCTCCAGCTGCCACTTGTGACCTTTGAGTACTTTGTTTTTTATATTAGTTTCCACAAAATTTTTCTCACTTAAAGCTGATGCAGATGATGTCACACAATGTGTTTTGCCTTCTATGAAGAGCCCTGTTAAGTTGTGAGACTGTGGGATGAGTGAATCGGCTTTCCACCTGTCAGACAGACATTGCCAGGGTTAAGGTGATGGCAAAGCTCCAGGGAGGCTTGGAAAAGTACTTGCTGTTGCCACTACCTGCCAACAGATGGCAGTAGTCCATCAGCTCGTCAGGCCTCCCAGCAAGGGGGCCTGTCCATCTAGAACCAGTTTTCACTAATAATTAGAACATAACAAGCCACTTAAAAAGATCTACTGCAATAAGAGCAGAATTAGTGAAGCCGATTTTCACTAATTATTTGCTGGAGGATTTAGTTTTTTTTTTTAATACTTCTGAAAGAAAATATAATTGATTGGTTTTCCAATAAAATCCAAAGTGCTCTGTAAAAACCTCTGCAAATTAGTTCATGATTCATCTGTTGCCTATCCACCTGTGCAGTGACAACAGAAGCCTGGTGAAAACAAACAACAAAAACTGACCTGGTATCAGTGCTGGATAAAGGGGAGTGAAGGGGAAAATCCTTTGAAGCTTTACCTTTTTTCCTTTCAAAATTACCAGACATTTCATATCTGAAGAACTTATCCGAATGAGAAAAGTACTTGGAAGTGACGTTTTTGGGCATCTCGGCCCATGTTGATAAAGCAAACTTCCTTGGAATTGCTTTAGTGGTGTCACACTGATACTCTGATTATAACAATAACGTAGCAGATGGCGACAGCAAGGCCGAAACAGTTCTGGTGCTCTGCTTCCTGAACTTCCATCTGCTCGTGTAAGTCACGTGCGATACTGGGTGCAGAACTGAAACTAACGCTGGGGCAGTTACACTTACAGCCTAGTGTCCTTTAAACCTGGCCGGGTTTCTTTCCAACTCTGGTCTGAGGCCTGCTGGGATTCTCACAGTTGGGAACAGCTTAATGTTTCTCAGTTTCGTGATTACTGTGTCCACGCCAAAGACCGTTGTGGGGGATGGGCATGGGGAGGTGGTGGGGATGAGGGGACTTTTGTTTTCCTGGTGCATCTTCCTGTAGCTTTTGAATGTTTTACCCCAAACACTTATCACAGATGTAACAGCTCCTCCACTCTTTGTTTGGAAGGCCCAGATGCAACAGTATGCAGATGACATCACTGCCCACCTTTTCTGCCTATGCTCAGGGACCTTCCTGCCAGAATAACACTCCTCATTTTTCCTAGTTCTATAATGATTTTCCTTTCCAAGAGTTGCACTTTCTACTCCAAGGAAAACAGCCTTGTAGCTGAATAAGCCAGGAGCTTCCGTTACAGGCCTTACTGGTTTATTAACCAGGAATAAATAATGCAGATATATGAGGGAAGATAGTTCTTCCCTCTCTGGAGGCCTGACTTGCCCTGACGGCTGTCGGGGCCAGCACAGACTTTTGGATATATACACTCCCGGAACTTAATTTGAACTAAGTAATAATTGGGAGAAGAACCAGTTTTCCCTAAGAGATCGCATCTTTTAACCTCCATCCTGGTCAACAGTTCATGGGTCTGATGCTCCTTATTTAGCCTGGCATTTGAGGCTCTTCAAAATCTGGCCCTAATTCTCCGCATTCTTCTCCCAACAAACCTTCAGGCTCACCAGACTCCCTGTCACTTCTGGATGTGCTGTTCCCTCTTTGGTGAATGCTCTTCCAGTCCTGTTCATCTGACAGAACAGTCCCTCTCATTCTAACTCAAAGGTTGCATTTGGAAGCCTTCCTCCCCCTAGACAGATGTGTGGCACCCCTCCATCCTCTCCACCTCCCCACAAGCTTCCACAGCAATCTGGTCACACTGTTGGCTCAGTAGGTCACTTGTTCCACTGAATTAGAAGGCACTAACTCAAACACCCATTTTCCCCAGTAGACTGTGTGGGACTCAAGGACAAGGACGATCAATCAGGATGCAGCCTAGTGCTTGGCTAAGAGCAGGAGCTCGGTAAGTGCTTGATCAATTGTCTTTATCACATTACCTCCCTCTCCTCTCAACAAAAACATGTGTTGGGGAAGGGCACAAACGGAAGTGTGGAGGGTGTGGCAGGAGGAAGTTGGGTTACGAGGTTTGAGAATGTTATGAAATATCTTCAGTTTATGTCAATATATATGTCAGGGTGGCTATTTTTACCAGAGTGAATAACAGTACGAAAGTAGCTAATTGCGAAGATGTACGATTTCTCGGCAGTGCGAGAGATCTTTCCTTTAACGAGACAAAGGAAGATTTCCACAGGGGTGTCAGCCTGGAAAGCCTTCACAAATGTAGTTTCTGAGTTTTTGTGTTAGATTAGGGAAGTGGAAGTGAGTTAAATGTATAATGAAAAGGGAGAATTCATTTCAGGCCCAGCCGCCAGCCTAGAAGTTCCAGATCTGGTGGGCAGGGGCTCGCTCTGCTGCTGCCCCACCCCAGGTGCCTGCGTGCTAGGTGGAAGAAGACCCTGCCATAGGCGAGACCATCCTCTGAGCAGCAGTTCCTTGTGTCTGCTCAGCTCTGTTAAGACTTCCGTCCTGACATGGAGCTCCGACGGGGTGTACTAGGAGCCAAGGGCCCTGGAATTCAGTTTCAAATCTGACTCCAACTTATGGTGTGACGTCTTGGGCACATCACTGAATGCCCATTTCCCATCGATAGAATGGGAAACTTATCACCCCACCCCAAACTGATGTGTTTGATAACAGTGAGAATCAGATATGGGGGAAATGTGGCAGGTAGTCTTTGTGTCAACAGTAAGAAGACGTGCGTGATCTGAGTTGCCCTTGGAGTCCAGGCTCTATGACTGTGGGTTTGCATGGATAGGGCCTGGGTGTCGCGGGCAGGAGAGGAAACACTGATTTAGGGCACTTGTTTTCCAGATTCGGGCTGCTGATAGAATCATCCAGAGAGTCAAAAAAAATATATATATTCCAGGGCCCCTGCCCCAAGATGTGCTGGGAAAAAGGCAGGGCCTGAGTGGTTTTAGAATGACTGTCTTGGGCGAGGACCTGAACTGCAGAGAATGTACCTAAAAAACAAAAAAAGTGCAAATGCTGACCTTGGTGATTAAGTGCTGAGATTTAACCCTGAATAACAAACTGGTTCACTATCTGATCTGCTAAAGAGCAGAATGTACCATCTGGGGGCTGAGAGTCAAGGTTGTTTTGTTCTAGGTCTACTTATTCAGAGCAGCTGTCGTGCAGAGTACTTGACAGAACCATTTTCCTCCAGAGTTAGATGACTCATTCAAAAATGAAGCTTTCCTGTTGAGTACTTCTTAGAAAAAAAAAAAGTCCCCCTTCTCTGCTCTCTTAATTGCAAAAAGTAGACAAGAGGGTGATTAAACCCCCACTAGCAACTGAGGGATTAAGCTGCTAAGAAACCTCAGAATAAGATATGCACGAGCACCAGCCCTTTTTGCTGCTGTCAAGTGGGCTAAAACTCAGAAGAAAAATGCACTTGCTATGATGACTGTTTATTTGACAGCCCTGGTTGTCCACTGAGTTGTAAATCTGACAACACCTGGGTGACGCTCCATCTTCTAAAATGAGAGTTTTAGCAAGATGCTTTGGTATAAATTAATAATGCTTCCAGATCGGAACTTTCTAGAGTAAACACCAAAAGGGCCCGGGGAAAAAGAAGAAAATGTACTGTCCTGTGGGTGTTTAACAGGAAAATTGGTAGGTAGTTTACAGGGAATATGGAGCATAAAGGAACAATTTAAATGCCACCATGAAGGGGCCGACAGACAAGTGTAGAAAGTGGGATGTTCTGTACGACAACGGTTTCTACAAGTCTACAGCAGGAAAGAAACAGGGCGGGGTCTGTTTCAGATGAAAGCAAATCTAAAAGATACACCTAATGACCAATTACGATGCATGGGCCCTGTTTGGAGGCTGTTTGAGCAAACCAACTGCACAAAGCATTTTTGAGACAACTGGGGGAATTTGGTAATGAAGTGCATTAATAACAAAGACCTATTCATTTTTATCAGATGTGATATGTGGTAATACTCAGTGTCATGGTTCTGTATGAAGATGTCCCTGTTCTTTAAGCGATGCGTCTTGAAGTAAATGGGGTCTTTTTGTTTTATCAAAAAGACTTCTATTTCTTCAAAGGAAAAACAGAACAGATGAAGCAAATATGGCAAAATCTTGCTAATTATTAAATCTAGGTGATGGGCTTATGAGGGGTCATTGTAAAATTCTCTTCACTTTTGTGTATGTTTGAGATTCTGTCATAAATTTATAAGTGTATAGGCAAGTCCAGGACAAGCAGCCTCTGGAGCATCAATAAATTACCACAGGTGGGGAGGGTTGAGAGTGGGTGGTACAGAGTCTTTGCAAGGAAAATAAAAATAGCGTGTGCTCCCAAGCTTCCAGGAGCTCTGCAAGGGATGGTTCTTTACTCTCTTTGATGGGGAAAAGAATACCTTTCATCTTGATGGAGAACTCCCCCAGCAGACTCTCTAGCTCCGCTTCAATGGTGCACATATTCTGTGAAGGGTACAGGAGACAGGCATTAGAGTTAGGCTTCTTTCACACAAGAGCTCAAAGCACATGACGTTCTAACAGCCTGAACAACATTTACCTGTTTGCAATGAGCTACACAGCACTGCCTGTGAAGCATTGACAAAATGTTTAACCTAGATGTAAGCAAGCCTTCTAGTGTACAGGAAATTCAGAGCATAGAACAAGTTACATTATATGATAAAGAGACGAATCCAGAATGTGGAATATTCTATAAGATCTGTCCTGGATTCTACACAAAAGCAGTATCATGGAAAAATTCCAGATGAGACTAAAGAGACAACCAAATGAAATGTGTTAACTTGGATTACTTCCTGATTTGAAAAACAAGTAAATTATCTGAAATTGTTATGAGACAAATAGGAGAAATTTGAAATATTTAGGGGAGTGGAATGACTTCTACCAGTTACTGTCAGATGACTCAGCAAAAATAGAAGAAAAAAATGAGCTTATGAGAGAGAGGGAAAGCGAATGTGGCAAAATGTTACCAATTGTTAAGCCTATGTGAAAGTATATGGTGTTAATTCAATATACTAGTCTTGACTTTTCTGTAGGTTTGAAATTTCTCTTAATAAAAATTTGGGTCAAAAAAGAGCCCAGGGGCTCGATTCTACTCAAAGCGCATGAGGCAGAGTCCCTGCTGCAATGCCACAGGACCGCAGAATGATTGCTGGGTCTGACCAGACGCCTCGCCTCACTCCAGTGTGGAACGGTAGAGGAAGAAGGAGCGACACCATCCATGCTTGTGATTAGATATGTAACTAGTCCCACCCTACTTCCTCAGTAGCTGAGGACCTGAACAGAGCAATCAGATAGAAATCAAAAGGAAAAGTGCAGTGCCAGGGGCTGTCCCAGTGAGGTCCCCAGCCCAGCCCTGGGGGCAGCATCTGCAGGCTTCTCCCACAGTAGTCAGCTGGGGGCTAAGCACAGCCAGCTCTGTGAGCACTGACAGATATTGCTTCCACTTGAATTTTATTTGCTGAGGATTTCAGGATTAATTTGTAAGGCTAGAGGTTCTAATTCTTATTTGTTTCTCTGCTCTGCTTCAAATGATCTCCCTCCTGAAAGCTCTTAGTACCTCACCTAGCTTAGCAAAGATGGGGGAAATTCCTGAAGTCTGAACTCTGTGCAGCTTGAAAGCTTTGAAAACAAAGTCTCAGTATGTAAATCAATTTTCCTCCTCAGAGCATTGGGTGAGTCTCTGTGAAAAAAAGCATGACAGTTTCCAAAAATAACAATGTTATCATGCATGTCAGGATTGCTACCAGTGTCTTTGAAAAATGGGGGGGAAGGAGAGGGTAGCTAGTTTAACAGTTGAGGACATCTGTGGTCAGAATTTCCTTCTGTCCTACTCACGCAGCCATTGATGAATACTGCTGCACCTGCAAAGGCACCCAGAGCATTCTGCCTGAAAGTCCGTCTTTTGTGATAAAATCCTGGCTTTTTAATGTGAAGGTACAAAAATCACTGGATGTCAAGCAAGCTATGAAGCTACAGAAGTCCTGGACTTCTTCACTAAGGCTGCCCTTACTCTCGCCGATATACATTCTACATCTTTGAATTTGTGAGCAAAGTCTGAGGCCATGCTTGGCACTTGACCAAGGTTGGGTGCTTCTGAAATGACCTGCAAATGTCCTAGGATGGGCAGCTCTTACAGGCGGCGGGCCAGTTATCTGCTTGGGGACTGTGAACAGCTTCTATAATTGGCAATTGCTCTTTTGATTTCAGAGACATGTAGAAATGAAGTCTCATGAACTAGGGCTGCTTCTAAGCCAGAGGTTCTCAATCTTTGGGTCCATCAACTTGAGTGGAGAAAAAAGAAAATCACATTATTTCCACTAACCTCTAAGATTTAACATGTCCATGTGTCATGAAGGTAGCAAACAAGCCACAGCAGTATTACTAGTACCTGTGACTTTGACACTGACAGAAATGACATATATGTTCATGTCACATAATTTTTTGCACATATCTTGAAAAATCATTGATCTTTTTCACTCCTTTGAATTTCGCAATTTCAAATAACTAGTGCCACTGCTAGATCTTATCATTTAATTTGATATGTTAATAAAACAGAAGCATAGTAGTATATCATGATACATTTGATTTTTATATCTTGATTACTGATAATATTGAAATAATTATATTTCAATATTTGTTTCTTTTGCATTCCTATGTGTTTTATTTTCTGCATTTAAAAAGCATTATTCTGTAAGAGGTGCTTAGGTAAGAAGCCCAGTTTTAGACCACGAAAAGAGACACACTTGGTGTAGGCAATATGCAGGGCTGGAGTGTATATACGAAGCAATTCTGTATGAGTCATCCAAGAGCCTCCCCACCCCCACTCACGCCCCCACCTCTGCCCCGCCCCCTGACGCCAAGCCCAGGGCTGAGGCAGATGCCCAGCTCTGGGAATTGTCCAGCAGACCCCCATCAGGCCGATGATTTCACTCATGAAATTTGACCTCTGAACAGCGACTCATGGGATGATGAGAAGTGCTGTTTTAATAATTCAGTCGTTTCATCAAAGACAATAGTATCGGGTGACGCTGGGAGAAGCAAAGGCCTCCCTGTGTCATGTGTTTGGACCCAGGAGACAGTATTAACCAGGACAGCTCAGTGTTCTTTGTCTCTTCTCCTTTAAGACAGAAGGGAAATTTCTTAACAATAAACTAATTGTAGGCAGGACGGTTAGTGACACCCGACATCCAGGGTGATCTTAACCACACCGTCTGTTCAACTTCTAGGGATAAAGCTCGATGAGACTATATACCAGAGAATTTGGAAGTACATTTAAATGATAAAAACCAGGGCACTGTGACTTCAGTCATTCACTGAAATTTTCGACAAGCATTTGTACTCCTCTTGTGCAGAGACTGCACAGGGCGGTGGGGGGGCACGTGCAGAACTTTGAGGCTTGGTCACTGAATGGCTTCATAGCGACTAACATCTCGTGGTTTTACAAGTGCGTGAACAGGCTTATTATAAGGCACCAAGGACGACTGCCCGACAGGTGACTCTCAGGGACTGACAAAGGCATATCCTCTGGTGTCCGGTGAAAGCTCTAAGAAAAATACAACCTATGAACCACCCAAGAGTCATTTTAAACAATTCTACTGACAGCCTCAAAAAAAAAAAAAAAAAAAAGCAAGAAAAACAAATAGTAAAATGTATCTCTCTGAAGAGTAGAATGAGGTCACAGTTTGCCTTTCCTTGTTCCTGGCAGTTACCCACATTCGGAGCAGTCCAGATGGGGCCAGGCAGCTGAGCAGGTGAGCGCATACCTCTGTGTACTCTTTGTAGCTCCGGTGGACCTCTGAGAGACTCTCCCGGGCGGCCTTGCTGGCAGGGGACATTGCGAAGGCTTGCTTCATTTTGTTGGCACCATCTTGGAGGCGTCTTTGGATACAATAAGCTTCATAGAGCTCATCGACCTGCCAGGATCAAATAGGAAACACAAGGGAGGTAAGTCATGATCACACTTGAAAGAAGCTGCACAGGTCACTGTTAAGTGCTGAAGACATTCTCTTCTTGACCTCAATGAGGAGACTCTTGGAGAAGAGTCGTCTGTTCAGGCAGAGACCTATCTCTTTTGTTTTAGCCACTATGATCCATTTTCCACTTCAAAACAGATTTTGCTCTGAGCCTTCTTTTCCAATTACATAAGATGAAAATGAACTGAACTCGGGTGGATTGTGTGAAACAAGTATGGGAGCCTCTGATATAAGCAACACATACTGGAAGAGTTTATACAGTTTCACACCAAGGTGAAAACATAGTATATGAACCTATTATCACTGTATTTTAAGAGATAGTGTCACAAAGTGATATTCAAACATCCAGATTTAGAGATATTTTAAGAGATAGTGTCACAAAGTGATATTCAAACATCCAGATTTAGCCTGAAAGAACTTCAGGCTATTTACCAAAAATGATTTTTGTGACGTTTTGCTTGGCTCAACAATAAAGAGAAAGTGAAATTAGGTTACTCTTACAATTAAGGTGAGGCGCAACTGTCGAAACTTATCAAACTGAACACTTAAGAACTGTGATAGTTTTTGCATGTAAATTATAACACAATTTAAAAAATAGATAGAAGCAATAGAAATGAACACTTTCCCTGTTATACCTCTACACTTATGCTTCTAAACAATCATATACCCTTTGCAAATGATGACTGATCACACTCTGTAGAAGTCTGATTATCACTTAATGTTTCTCAAGCAGTGATTCTTGATCGACCAACATATTTTGACACCCAGGAGACATTTGGCAATATCTGGAGACATTTTTCAGTGTCACAGCTGGGAGGCGCTACTGGCATTTAGTAGGTAGAGGCCGGGGATGCTGCTAAACTTCTATAATGCAGAGGATGGTCCCCCGACAACAAAGAATCATCTCTAAATATCAATAGTGCTGAAGCTGAGAAAACTTGTTCTAAAGTTATTCTCGATGGTGTTTATCTCTGCAGTCTTGTACTGTCATCAGTTATCAAAGCACTTGCCGTAGTTAACTATAGGAATTTTCAGGCAGATAAAAAGGACAACATCGCCAAGCATTAGCGGAAGCAGTTGAAACCCATGACTTCTGGGAGGCAGTTACCTACCTAGAACTACATGAAATTTTCATTTCAATACAAAATTTGTTTCCTCAAAAAGGAGGCTTAAACTGTAAAATCCAGAAGAAGGTGTGGATAAAGCTTGCATTGGAGAGGTTAAGATTTCCTTTTTTTTCTGAAGGCAAATTTTTGGCTGCTCCCTGAATAGCATCACTACTACCTGTCAGAGCTGGATAATTTCCCATCGTTGCTTCCTCTATACAGATGATGACTGTACTTAGCTTAGAATATGAACATTAAGAGACTGAAAATTATTCTCGTGGTTAAAGGGTTCTTTGTTGCTCTTTAGTTC